TTTTGGTTCGCGTTACCACGCCTTTATTCGCGTCACTACGTCTTTTGATTTGCGTTATTACGCCTTTTATTTCGCGTTATGTCATTACAGACTATTCTAGCTGTATATAAACATACAAATAAATTTTTAATATTTATATATTGAATAGTATAAGATGAAAGATTTACAATTTGAAGAAGTTCATCAAATAGATGGGGCCCAGGAATGATGAATATATGGATAGAAATATTATTTTTTGACTGACTTTATGTACCTTTATTTTTGTTTTTCTAGTTGCGGCTAGGAAATTAATATTTATTCTTTTAAACCTAGGTTATCAATTAAGATTTCATCATAAAGATCTTCAGGCCTCTAAATAAAGTAATATGGGTGCTTAATATTATTTATGCTATTTTAATCAAAGCCATCATGATGCTTGAAAACTGATTAAACTAGAACTATCGCTGAATGCGATTTATACCCCAACCAATATCTTTGACAGAAGACTACTTGGAAAGGTGGTTAAGGGAATAACTTTAAAGTGACACATATACATAAAAAGAAATAATCTCTGGTGAAAAAAAACCACTAGAAGTCACAGGTAACAGTAAAAATATATATCATCAAATCATGTTCGAAACAGTTACATATAACCTTTCATTTTCCCAATGTACTAAACATTTTATATTTATTAAGTCAATTTTTGACTTTAAACTGTGGCCTTGACCTTAAGCTGGCTCAAGATTAAGATGGGTTCTGCACATTGTCCAGTTGGGGTGAACATTTGAGTAAAATTTGAAGAAAATCGTTCCATTAGTATAGAATTTATAGAGCGGACACAACTTTTGTCAAGTATTGATTGTATGTAAATTTTAAGTCTTAAAAAGGGGCATAACTTTGCCAAAATGCAATATAGAGTTATGAAACTTGACCTGCATATCTTATTTGTGACATCTCATACATATTTCAAGTTTCAAGCAAATACCTGTGCTAAGTTCCATAAATATTCAAGTACATGTTAAAATTTAAGAACATTTTCTAAGTCAATTGTTTACGTTCAAGTGACCTTGACTTTTAGCCGGAACAAAGATGACATGGATTCTGCACATAACCTTGTTGAGGTGAATATTTGAGTAAAGTCTAATATTGTCTAATATTTGATTGTATGTAAATTTGAAGACTTAAAAAGGGGCATAACTTTGTTAAAATGCAATACAGAGTTATGGAACTTCACCAGCATATCTTAATTGTGATTGTATTTGATTGTTTGATATTTGACCTTCAATTGTGACCTTGACCTTGAGCTGACACATGGGCAACATCGGTTCTGCACATCCCCTTGTTGAGGTGAACAATTGAGCCAAGTTTGAAGAAAATCCTTCAATTCATTTAGGACTTACAGAGCGGATACGACATATTGTGTTATATTTGATTGTTTGATATGTAACCTTCAATTGTGACCTTGACATTGAGCTGACACATGCGCAACATGGGTTCTGCACATCCCCTTGTTGAGGTGAACATTCGAGCCAAGTTTGAAGAAAATCTTTTAATTAGTGTAGGACTTACAGAGCGGACACGAAAAACTGTCTAATATTTGATTGTTTGATATTTGACCTTCAATTGTGACCTTGACCTTAAGCTGACACATGGGCGTTAAGTTTGAAGAAAATCTTTCAATTAGTGTAGGACTTACAGAGCGGACACGACATATTGTGTAATATTTGATTGTGTTTGATATTTGACCTTCAATTGTGACCTTGACCTTGAGCTGAGACATGGGCAACATGGGTTCTGCACACCCCCTTGTTGAGGTAAACATTTGAGCCAAGTTTGAAGAAAATCCTTCAATTGGTATAACATTCATAGAGCGGACACGAAAATGGAGACGGACGGACGGACCGACCAACTGACCGACCGACCGACGCGACAAAGCGAATCCATTTTAGCCCCCCCCCCGCCCACATTTTGTGGTGGGGGTATAACAACACCAATAAAATCTTGAAAATAAATCAATGGCCTGTAGGTGATGAGAGTAATATTTCCAATGTAAGTTATTAAATTGGCTTGTAAATACTGTTCACTGTTAAGGGGAAAATGTGTAAGTGGCCCGGGATAGCAAAGTAGTTGAGTACAAATCCTGAGTGCAAGTATTCACCAGTCAGAGTTATTATATGCTTGCCTGTGGCTAAATGATTCAAAATATATAAAACCGAACCATTCATGGGACTTTAAATGAGAAAAGAAAACCCAAAGATGAATGAATAAATTTATTTATTTTAATAACTTGGTGAATTTCAGCAAAAATATTAAGAGAGAACTGTGTAAAGTGATTTTTTAATTCTAGTGTAATTATGTTTCTTCATAAGACATTATTAATTTTAATGACTTTGATTTTCTAAATATTTGTGTTTTGTTAGTTTATAACAGTCACAATTTCCTGGGAAAATATTTTGGTATAATTATGATAATAGAGTAAAACACATTATTTGGCACTTAAATCATTATTTTAAGAGAAAAGATCTAGATAAAGTGTAAGAGTGAGATAGCATGGTGAAGATGGGATCTTAGTATCTCATGATCCTTGGATCACAAGATCAAGATGTAACAACTCTACAACAGATCACCTCCCTTTAATAAGATTTCCATTTACTTAATTTGCATTTATTCATTGATAACAGAACTTTTCTTAACATTTTTAAATACATAGTATTTGTTTTTAATTTAATTATGATCAGATGGACTGGATTAATAGGATTATGCCATGGTTCATAACTGTTCACTGTTTAGGGAGAAAATGTGTAAGTGGCCCGGGGATAGCTCAGTCGGTCGAGCCACAGTATGGTACTTTGAGGGTCCCGGGTTCAAATCCCGGGCTGGCTGCACATTTTTCTCACCCTGTTTATATTAATTGGCGCCCAATGTGCTGCCTTGACTGCAAATAGCTCAGAGTTCAATTCACATAGCTCTGTATTACCCTTAGAAATGTGAGGGTTGATGTGTAAGCTGCTTAATAGCTCAGTCGGTAGAGCTGTGGTAAGGTATTCTGAGTGTCCCAGGTTTGAGTCCTGGTCAGGCTGCACATTTTTTTCACCCTGTTACAAAATTACCAATTCGTAGTCTTGTGATAATTCAAATTGGACTAAAATTATGAACTTTTTATATGCATGAAACATTTTAAATCTTGTTGCATATAATTATACAAATTGATTAACTTGTATAAGAGATATACAGAGATATTGTTGGAGTGACAATTAAAACACCATATGTTCCTGTATATATATAGAAAACAACATTTGAATTATAGAAATTAAATGTTAACATAATGATGTTGATCCAGGAATTTACAACAGAGGAGTTTGAACAATTTCAACAAGGGGTATAATACATATTTCAGTGTGTACATGTATTTAGTACCATTGACCTAGTGGTTAAGGCGTCTGCCTTCTGATCGTGAGGTTGAAGGTTCGAGCCCCACGGGGAGCGCTAATTGAAAGATGAATGTTTCAAATGCGACTCGTTTTGAAATGGCCACTTCGTGAGCTTCAAGGTAGTTAAAATGAATGGTTACCGGTTTCTACACGCCTGGCGCCTGGCATAGAGGTAGGGTACATTTTTTTGTACATGGTATGCAAGAAAAAGGTGTCTCATAAGTCAGAAATGGCTGGCCCTTTCAGTAGTGGTGACACAATGATAAACAAGACCATTCCCCTTTACCTTTTATTAACTTTTTTAAAAAAAAAAGGCAAGTCCTGGATGTAATATTATATTTACGTGTTGCGGTTCAGGGGAGAAGATGTGTTAGCCCCTGGATAGCTCAGCCGGTAAGAGCTGTGGTACGGACCTATTCTGAGGGTCCCGTGTTTGAGTCCCGGTCAGGCTGCACATTCTTCTCACCCTGTGACATTTGGAGCCCAACTTTGGGCTGTGACTAAATATACATTGTAGCTCAGAGTTAAATTTACATTGCTTTTGTAACCTGTGAAATTTGAAGATATATTTTCAATATAGAAGGACAGTATCTCAAGCTTAAGAAATTTACTATTTAGGGGAGAAAAAGTATTTAAGAGGCCGCATAGCTCAGTCGGTAGAGCCGTGGTATGGTACTCCGAGGGTCCTAGGTTTGTGTCCCAATCAGGCTGCACAATATTTATTTTTATTTTGTTGTTTTCTTTACTTTAATTTCCATTTTTTTTCATTATTTCCTGTACAACCCCCTTGACTGGGACAAAACAAAATAAATGAAATAAAATAGAGATTGGTATTGGTGGGACGCACAGGTGACAGTATGATAAAACGCCAAATTTGAAGCGGTTGTACACTAAATATGGGGCAACAAAATGAATATATAGTGAAAGCGGCCAGATAGCTCAGTTGATAGAGCTGCGGTACAGTATTCTGTGGGTTTGCGTCCCAGTAAGGCTGCACATTTTTCTCACCCTGTGACATTTGGTACCCGACGGGGGACTGTGACTGGATACAATTCAGAGTTTAAATAACATTGCCCTGTAACTCAAGGATAAATTCAAGGATGAATTTCAGGGGAGTGTCACGGTTCAGAAGTGTTCACTTATTAGGGGAGAAGGTGTAAGAGTAGCTGTCGGTCGAGCCGCAATACAGCATTCCGAAGATCCCAGGTTTGAGTCCTGGTCAAGCTGCATATTGTTTTCACCCTGTGACACACAACCAAGCAAAATAACGAAAAAGCAGTAACCAGACACCATGTAATTTTGTGTTCATGGCTATATGGCAGCACTTAAAAGCAAAAGTGGAATTCTATTGTTAATTTGAATTGTCATTTTTGCAGGTCTAAATGATGTGTTGAGTTGAGAAAACGTTTTGTAACATTTTGATATCAAAGTTAATGTAATCTAAAGACGCATACATACTTAATTAGTTATAAGAAATTACATAGATCACATTTCAACAGGATTTGTCCGCCATTTTGAAAAACGGCCGCTTTAAACCTGTTAAATTTATATTTATGGCAAATGTTGTTTACAACCAATTGTAGCGAATATAGAAAAGTTACTTCCCCTTAATGAGTTAACACCATTTGTATACAATCAAAACAAATTGTTCCAGACGTGAATTCTTGTAAATAGTACCTGTAAGTTGATATCAAATATGTTTGATGATGTTTCTTGATTTAATTACCTTTTGCTTTTCAATCTGGAGTTCTTAGAAGTTGTCGGTTATGTTATTAATGTATAAAAAGGTAAGATTATCTTTATTTTGGCGATGGTTCCCGAGTCATGTAATTATATACAAAAGTAACGCATATTGAAAAGGTAAGCAGTAGTTAATTCAATAGAAGTAATATTCAAGCGTTTGCAAGATATGGAAGACACTAGAGGGCGCAAGCAGTCCCGAGCCAATATATAAGGCAGGTGAATGTGAGAAATTGAGAGTTGGTGTTTTGGCAGCGTGTTGAACAGTCGACAATCCTAAATGCTATACCTACTTTTTATATTCTTAGTTGCACAGTGCATAGCGCTGTGTGATAAGGCTGAGAAATATTAAGTAGAAAGAAAGCAAGGATTAAAGATTCATAAAGGGAGATTAAGAATAATTTTATTAGTAGAGAAATAGAGAACGAGATAGAGGGAACGTATTATATAAATAGTATTTCATGTAGGACATTAATTTGATAAATTGTTTAATACGTATAGAAATTATTATTCGTTTTTCAATTAAAAGACAAGGTAGTCTCGAGGAAAATTATATCTATATATTTAATTCAATTTAGTAATTCATGCACATTTATTAAGCAATATAAATCATTGGTATTCAATCAAATAATCATAAGGCAAAGAAGCCAGAGGAAAATTTTGTATCATACAGGTATAAGCTCGGTGCACGTTACAAATTTGGTGGCAGCGGTGGGATAAAGGATAAAGGATAAAAGATAAAAGATAAAGGATAAAATATAATAGTTAAACAGATAAGTACTTAATCGAGTACCGAGCCCTTAGCTCAGAGACCATTATTTCATATATAAATCATGAATGACATGAGCATAGAAGACAATCAAATATTGCTAAATAAAATCAAACTACTTGTAATAGATAATGAAAGTCTCAGGGTCCAGCTCGAGATACATTCCCTGGACAAATTCTTGAATAAATCTGAAATATCCTCTGTGACGGAATGTTCAGCACAGAGCGGTGAACCAGATCACAAGGATAAGTCACCAAGCTTGAAGCACAGTACGCCAAATGAGCCAGAAGTATTACATTATGATGGAAAGACACGGTTCCAGGGTTCTAGGATGAAGACCGAAATATCTTACCGTAAAAATTAAATTTTTTTAGGTTATAAGGAATAAAGGGGTCTCAAAAAACCTCCCGATTTAGTCTAGAAAAATTTAAGGGATGGGGGTTGCAAAAACGGGGAATATGCCTTTATAAAAAAAAATTTTATACAGGATAAAAAATAATAAAATTTCAAAACACCCAAAATATTTTGTCCTTTAAAATTATTTATTTAAGGGGGGTTTCAGAAACAAAACCCAGGGGAAAAGGAAACAGGGTTTGTAACCCAAACCTTTAAAATATGGAAACAAAAGGAATTTGTTTTGGACTAAAAAAAATTTTTTTAGGAAAAAAGTTTTAAAGCTTTACTCCCGTTTTTGAAAGAAAAAAAAAGAAATTGTTATATTCCCAAACCCAGACTTGACTGATCAAGGCATACAAACCAGCCAAAAATGGACAGTTCTCAAGAATCAAAAGTATACATGAAGCCAGCAACTTTTGATGGAACAGGATCATGGCTAGATTACAAAGCTCATTTTGACGCTTGTTGTGAGATTAACAGATGGTCTGAAAAACAAAAAAGGTCTTTATTTGGCCGTTTCTTTGCGCGGACAGGCTCAGGGTGTATTCGGAAATCTTGGAACTAAAGATCGAAAACTTTAATGAATTAGTCAAGGCTTTAGAAGAGCGATTTGCACCTCCAAATCAAACAGAATTATATCGAGTGCAATTAAGAGAGAGAAAGCAAAAACCCGTCTGAGTCTTTATCAGAAATGGGCCAGGAGATACGAAGACTTACTAACTTAGCCTATCCCTCAGCACCTTCAGATGTGAGAGAGAAACCTTGGCAAAAGAGCAGTTCATAGATTCTCTTTTCAGTTCAGACATGAGACTAAGAATAAAGCAAGCAAGGCCTGTAAACCTCAACGATGCTGTAAGACACGCAGTAGAGCTGGAGGCTTTTCATAAAGCTGAGAGGCGAACAACAGATAATAAAAATTTTATGCGTACGGTTAGTCATGCAGAAAATTTAAATGTTAAGTTACAAAATGACGTTGAACCGTTACAAAAGTCAGTGTCAGAAATTAAGAAAATTTTACAGGGCAATACTTGGTCAAAGTCTGCAGATTCTAGACAAGGGTTTAAGACACAAGATCTAAGAAATTCCGATGGTTCGGGTAAAATGTACACAAATTCAAAATACTCAAGTTCAAGGTATAATAATAATAATAATAGAGATATGTCAAGTTCTAAATGTTATGAATGCGGTGAAAGTGGTCACCTTCGTTATAATTGCCCGAAACTTCATAACCAAGTTTCAAATTTTAAACAAACAAAATATGGTAAACATAGTGTAACAAATACTAGTAAATATGGGTCTGGGTTATTTATAGAAGCTAGAATTAATAATTTTCCAGCAACTTGCTTAGTAGATACAGGGGCTACCTTAACCATAGTATCAAAGAAATTCCCCTTTGAAATTAAATTCGTTTAAAGCTGATATCGTTACAGCATCAGGACAATTATTAGATATACAAGGAAGCACGAAAGTTAAAATTGAGATCGGGGATAATGCATCATTGCTTGATGTAATTGTATCAGAAATAGAAGGGGAAGCAATCTTGGATCTTGATTATTTAAAATCGCAAAATGCAAATATCGATCTTATAGAATGTGTTTTACGTTTAAATGGACAGTCTCATGAATTAAATTGTTCGGGACCGATAGGGTGTTACAGGGTTATTGTAAAAGAAAGATCTGAAATTCCCGGGAATTCTGAAAAAGTGATACAGGGTAAAATTAATGATGCATCTAAGCCTACTAGAGGTTTGTACTTAGTTGAACAATTGAATCGCCCTGTTCTTGATAACGATGGTTTAGTTGCTCGAACACTTGTGCAAGCAAGTAACAGTATACCAATAAGAGTTATAAACTTTTTAGAAGAAACAAAGGTTTTGCATCCAGGAACTCATGTTGCTATCATGAGTCCTGTTAAAAGTGTGAACGAAGTTAAGGTATCAAGTGAAAAGAATAATTCTAATATCCCGTCTCATTTAAAAGATCTGTATGAACGAGCTACTAAAGATCTCGATAAAAATCAGTGTAAAGATGTTCACAAGTTACTGTGTAAATATTCTCATATATTCTCTGAGACAGATTCAGATCTAGGACGCACAGGAATAATTCGACACAAAATATCGACTGGGGATGCACATCCAATTGAACAGCCTCTCCGAAGGCTTCCTCATCAAATGAACGAAGAAGTTAATAAACATGTAAATGAAATGTTGGATAAGGGAATTATAGAATCATCCTCAAGTCCTTGGGCTAGTGGTGTTGTATTAGTTCAAAAGAAAGATGGAACGCATAGGTTTTGTATCGATTATAGGAAATTAAACAATGTAACAATAAAGGATGCGTATCCAATCCCGCGAATAGATGAATCATTAGATCAATTATCGGGCGCAAAATGGTTTTCATGCTTAGATTTAAGTTCAGGTTACTGGCCGGTTGAAGTTGAGCCCGAAGATAAAAACAAGACAGCTTTTATGACCAGGCAAGGGTTGTATCAGTTCAAAGTTATGCCTTTTGGTTTGTGCAATGCGCCAGCGACTTTTCAATGGATCATGGAGACAGTACTAGCTGGTTTACATTGGAGTGTTTGCTTGATTTACCTTGACGATATTATTGTCATAGGGAAAAACTTTCACAATATGCTGGATTACTTAGATACAGTGTTTAAAAGATTAGAAGAATCTGGCCTGAAATTAAAACCTAGGAAATGTAATATTTTTGCAAAAGAAGTAGAGTTTCTTGGGCACATTGTTTCGTCTGATGGTATTAAAACTGATCCACAAAAAGTAAACTGTATAAAGTCATGGCCAACGCCTAGAAATGTTCATGAACTTCGTTCATTTTTAGGACTTTGCAGTTATTACAGAAAATTCATAACAGGTTATTCAGATATTGCTGAACCCTTACATAAATTAACAGAGAAGACTCAAAAAATTGATTGGAATACAGAATGTTCTGAAGCATTTAAATTTCTGAAACAGAAATTAACAGAGGCACCTGTGTTAGCGCACCCAGATTTCACACAAGAATTTATATTGGATACCGATGGTAGCAATGTTGCTATTGGTGGAATTTTGTCACAGAAAATAGATGGACATGAACGGGTTATTGCCTATGCAAGCCGATCATTGACAAAGGCTAAACGTAAATGCTGTGTCACACGTAAAGAACTTTTAGCACTTGTATATTTCGTCAAGTACTTTAAACATTATTTGTATGGTAAACAGTTTACAGTAAGAACCGATCATGGGTCACTTAGATGGCTTATGCAGTTCAAAAATCCGGAAGGACAAGTTGCAAGATGGCTTGAAATACTTGCTTCATACAATATGAAAATAGAACATCGGCCTGGGAAAATGCATAGAAACGCTGATGCATTAAGTAGAATACCTTGTAAACAATGTGGAATAACAGGTCATCCAGTTAATGAAAGAAAATTTCAGGTTTCAGCAGCTATTTTGACACAGGATACAGATGATCAAGATTTAGACATTTCACTTCAAGTTGCACAGAATAATGACAAAGATATTCAAACAATAATAAAATGGTTAAAAGATGGGAAATCAGATAGTGTAGGTATCGGTTGTGAAAGCTACTATTTGAAATCTTTATGGGCACAAAGGCAAAGACTAAGTATACATGAAGGGCTATTAGTTAGAAAATGGGAAGTTATAGCAACAAACATTATTAATTGGCAGGCTATAATTCCAATTAGTTTTCGGGTTAAAGTCCTTAAATTCTCTCATGATATAAAGGCATCAGGTCATTTGGGTATCCGTAAAACACTTAGTAAGATAAGACAACGATATTACTGGCCTGGTTTACAAAATGATGTACGAAATTATGTTAGTACCTGTGAAAAATGCTTAAAACGCAAAGGCCCAATACCGAATAATAAAGCACCGATGAATGTAGTTAGGTCAGGTTTTCCAATGGAAAGAATTGCGGTAGATATACTAGGTGAGTTACCACAAACAGAACAAGGTAATAAATATATACTTGTAATTGCTGATTATTTCACGAAGTGGACTGAGGCATTTGCCATGCCAAACATGGAGGCAAAAACTGTTGCTAAAATAATGGTAGAACAGATTATAGCAAGGTTTGGGGTACCGAGTAGTATACATTCTGATCAAGGTAAGCAGTTCGAAGTTCATGAAATGTGTGAGCTGCTGCAGATACAGAAGACCAGAACAACACCTTACCACCCGCAATCAGATGGTATGGTAGAGGTTTTTAATAAAACATTAACTAGAATGCTTAGTATGTTTGTTGACGAGAATCATAAAGACTGGGATGAGTACTTACCTTATGTGATGATGGCTTATCGAGCATCTGACAACGAAACCACAGGTATGTCTCCCAACTACCTTATGTTAGGTAGAGAAACATCTACACCTTTAGACATAGCATTTCAAGTTCCTTCAAATTTTAAATCAGTACCAATATCACATTGGGCATGGGAACTTCAAGATAGATTAGAAGTGGCACATGCTTTTGTAAGGCAACATACTGGAAACTCAATAAAAAGACAGAAAATGTTTCATGATGTTAAGCTCTCATTTAATACTTTTGAGCCTGGAGATCACGTTTAAGTTTATTTTCCAGTAAAAAGAATTGGTTGTTCTTCTAAATTCACATCTTTTTGGAAGGGCCCTTTTAAAGTAAAATATAAGATATCAGATGTTTTGTATAGAGTTAATTGTGGTTATAATAAAACTTTACAAGTAATTCATGTCAATCGTATGCGAAAATTAAAAGGTCAAATTCTTCCAGAAGATACTCATATATCTCAAACAGGACTTTCAGAAAGTATAGAAGATACAGAGATAGAAGAAAATAATTTTGTTTCAGAAATAGAGAATAATGAAGATGATATGCAGACAAACAGATATGGAAGAAAAATTAAGAAACCATCATATTTAAATGACTATGTATTTTCTATTTCCAGAATGGCAAATAATAAACAGACCGTGAGAAAACTTTCTCCAAAGACTTTATGTCCAATATGTAAGGACCTTGTGCTTGAAGAGAAGTTTCTACAGCACATAATGTTATGTAAGAAGAACAATGATAGTTTGTGCTGTGTGACATGTAAAATGTATTTCAAAAAGGAGATTTACAGAAGTAAACATATGAAGAGAGTGCATAGCACTGAAACTACCGATAAGGAAACTCCAAGTACAAATCAAGAGTGTTGTAAAATTGGTGACGAAGATTCTGATTGGGATCGGGATCCTGACATTGAAATATCTGAGGAAAAGACTGACAATGTCATAGATCAACAGAAAGTGAAAGAAGATTCAGAGGCAATAAAAATTGGAAGGTTATATAGGAAAAGAACACTACCTAATCCGGTGATAGCACCAGTCACTAGAAAGTGTCCGAAACTTGATAATGATACAAATCAAGAAAATAAATTGGACCCGACATTGAAACCAAGCAATTTAATTGAAAATCCTCAGGAAATAGATAATTCAGGAAGCACAGGAAGTTCTGGTGATTATATTATTAATGATGAAGGCGAAAGTGATAATGAATTAAATTGTGAAGATTCAGTAGAGGATGAGGAGCAAAGTGATGAAACTGATATAGATACTAAGGAAGATGAGGTACAAGAAATTGACGAACCATCATCAGCATTGCCTGAAAATAGAGTAGCTCCAGCCGGGGAGAAAATGTCCATTGAGATAGAGAAGGAGAAATTAGAAATAGAGAAGAAAAAGATAGACTTAGAGACAGCTAAATTTGAGTTTAAGAAGAATATGTTGACAAAACTAATTGACATCGTATCAGACATGTAGAGAGAGTAGGGATATGATTTTAAAGGACAGGAATGTTATTTAAAATGTGATATTATTTTCTGTTATTTTGTTGTATAAGCGAGACGCTTGATGCATAATAAAAATTTATTTGATCTGTGAAATTGAGTTTATCATGCGGGACGCATGCCTTTCGGAGGCGTGGGTAATGTAGCGAATATAGAAAAGTTACTTCCCCTTAATGAGTTAACACCATTTGTATACAATCAAAACAAACTGTTCCAGACGTGAATTCTTGTAAATAGTACCTGTAAGTTGATATCAAATATGTTTGATGATGTTTCTTGATTTAATTACCTTTTGCTTTTCAATCTGGAGTTCTTAGAAGTTGTCGGTTATGTTATTAATGTATAAAAAGGTAAGATTATCTTTATTTTGGCGATGGTTCCCGAGTCATGTAATTATATACAAAAGTAACGCATATTGAAAAGGTAAGCAGTAGTTAATAGAAGTAGAAGTAATATTCAAGCGTTTGCAAGATATGGAAGACACTAGAGGGCGCAAGCAGTCCCGAGCCAATATATAAGGCAGGTGAATGTGAGAAATTGAGAGTTGGTGTTTTGGCAGCGTGTTGAACAGTCGACAATCCTAAATGCTATACCTACTTTTTATATTCTTAGTTGCACAGTGCATAGCGCTGTGATAAGGCTGAGAAATATTAAGTAGAAAGAAAGCAAGGATTAAAGATTCATAAAGGAAGATTAAGAATAATTTTATTAGTAGAGAAATAGAGAACGAGATAGAGGGAACGTATATATAAATAGTATTTCATGTAGGACATTAATTTGATAAATTGTTTAATACGTATAGAAATTATTATTCGTTTTTCAATTAAAAGACAAGGTAGTCTCGAGGAAAATTATATCTATATATTTAATTCAATTTGGTAATTCATGCACATTTATTAAGCAATATAAATCATTGGTCTTCAATCAAATAATCATAAGGCAAAGAAGCCAGAGGAAAATTTTGTATCATACAGGTATAAGCTCGGTGCACGTTACACAATCATTGAATTGTAAATATTAGAATATGGGACAAGTAATTGAACCTTTATTCTTAAGAATAAATATGTATGGTTATGAATGACAAGTTTTACATTTGTATTACCCTTTCCGGCAAAATGTTCGGGTAATTTGACCTAGTTTTCGGAGAAATTGGCCATTTTCAACTACAGTTTAAAATTAGGTATAGCCCATTTAGAAATAAAAAAATGGACAAGAAACAATGTTTAACACCCCTCACAAGTTTTAAAAGCATTTATTTTCTTAAATTTAATACTTTTAGAACTTTGCAGAACGTTATAGCAGCACGCATTCGGATCCATGTTAATTTTCATGAAAATTTTGGAATTGTATTTAAAAGTAAAATATTGTGAGGTGAACAAATGAAGTAATTTACATATTGCAATCGGCACGTACAATCAAAGAAAATTACCAAAAAGTGGTCAACATATGCAAAAACAGCCCTTCCTGCGTTAGTAACGCAGTAGAAATATGTAAATAAAATACTGCAAAATCTGTACCAAACCCCACGTTACATGTGAAATATGATTTGGACATTGAATGTTTTTACTTTTCTTAAAATAGTAGTACATTTTTCTCAATACTGATTTTCTTGAAATAGTTTGGCTCATCTGGAGGCGTGCGTGCAGCTTTAATACTTTTTTCTATATTAAGCTCTGTCAAATATCGAACAAATTTTTAGAGGGGACTATCTTACAGTCGCTCCTATATAGTTACACCACTTCTCTTGTATGGGTTTAGGAGGAGATGCTATTGAAGTAGACGACATTTGAAATGTGAACGACAGACGACAGACGCCGGACACAAGGAGTATTATAATAGCTCACCTTGATCATCCTCGTCTGGGCAACGACTATCGATTGCCAGTTATTTTTATCAACATTCAATTTAAAAGGTATATTTCGATGCACATCAATAATGTATCAAGAATAATGTCTCTCGTCTAACATCTGTGGATTGTCATAAAAATCACGTATTCAAAGTTATATTCAACTCAATAAGCCATTTTCACAAAAGATCTTAGTTTTAAAAGGGCATTACTCCATCATTAAGCTTTCGAAATAATGCCATTGTTAAACAACATTCCCTTTTAAGGATAAAAGTTTTCTTAACTTCATGTTTTACCTTTCCTAGATATAAAATTTCTCTGCTTCATATTAAGCAATTTTGATAGAAAATCTTAGTTAAAAAGGGACTAAGCGTCAAAGATATAGCTTTCAGAATAATGCCTCTTGTCTTAAAACCATCATAAAGCTTTCCAAATAATGCCGTTGTTAAGCAACATTGCCTTTTCAGGATAAAAAATTTCTTAATTTCATGTTTATACATTTCCTAGTTATAAAATTTCTCTGCTTAATATTAAGCAATCTTGATAGATAATCTTAGTTTAAAAAAGGACTTTGCTACAAAAATATAGCTTTCAGAATAATGCCTCTTGTCTTACAACTGCAACTTGTCATGATCAGTGTCGTGTTTACAAATATCTAAGCTAAAACCTCTAAAGTATATTTAAAGAAAAAGATTTATTTAACTCTATTCTTTTTCAGAAAAATCAATGAACCCCACCCCTGGTAAAATTTAAACAAATTTAGTAGAGGTCTACTAGACAATGATTCATATCTAAACCTTATGTGTGACAAAAAGGTGATCAGTTTACCAATATAATGTTTTTCCGTAGGCAATAAAAATACTAGGTCAGCCATTTAACATTTATGTCTATCCTTCTTTAGTTTAAGTACAACCTCATTCCAGTTACATAGTTTTGTATCGGAAATTTGAATATTTACTAAAACATCATATTTTTGCTTTGTTTTGGTCGGCATTTAAGTCACACCCACTTGTTTGATGGTCATATTCCAATTTTGAAGTTAAACATGTCTTTGGGTTACCCCATCTTGTATCAGATATGGTAAAGTTTCTATATAAATATATCATAACATTTAATAAGAAATAGCTCTACAAAAAACATATAATCATATTTGACTTATTTTCGCTCAATCTTTTAAGATATGTGTTTGATAATGGCAAATAATATGCATTATGATGTAAGATATATTCACAATGAGGACTTTCAACTGTTAGTACTTCGCTTTTGCATTTATTCAGCCACCATGGAATTTCAAAAAGAAATTTCAGATATTAAAAAAATTCTTTTACTTTTGATTCATTAATAAAAGGAAAAATACCTGTAGTCACTTTGAAGGAAATCCTTTCTCTCACTGTTCCGTTGTCGCAAGCAAATGAAAGATCAGCGTGAGAAGAATTCACTGAATCTATAGCGAGCTTGAATACTCCCGCATTTTCATTAAATGTGAATGTAAATGTATATGGTTTGTTTGAATAAGGGGCACATGCTCCTAAAAAACAGTCTGCGTATACATCATTGTCCACATACCAAGTCATCTCATTATTATAGGGAGTAATTGTGCACACGAGTTCTACATTAGAGTTTATTACGTAGGTCGTCTGTCTATCAGATGTTTGCAGCAAAACACTTGTCTCTAAAAATATTAAGTCTGTACAAATGAAATATAAATATTGTTTTTCTATTTAAAGTTATACAAAATGTTGTTGTTAAACAAAGAACTAAATTTCATTTAAAGAAAGAAAATAAAATGCTTAGTTACATGCATTACACCCTTTTTATTTTGTGACCATTTTTCAAAGGTGAAAAAAGTGATAAGTTTTATATAAATAATCCATTTTAAAATTTGCTTTCAAAATTGCGACTGTCACATGATAATTGGAACAGATCAGTTGAAATTACAAATTAGCCAAAAACAGACGGATGTTCTGATTTTCATACGAAATTTTATTAAATTATTGTTCAGCAGTATGATTTCTGCAGCGAAAGTACACACTTTGTAAAAGTGTTGTAAATGACTGATGTACATCAATAACTATGCAAAATAAATGCAAACACAATAAAAACAAATATAATTAAATCGTACGTAAGACTTTTCTTCTGCTGAGAGACAAAATACTTCTAATTGTGCAAAGTGAGCTAGGAAATTTTAGCCATTTCTGACTTAATAGATTATTATAAATGATTATGAAAAAAATTAGGACTACACATTCAAGCAAAGATATGACAAACTAGGACTGATCATGTGAAGAACGCCTTAGGCAACTAGTTGACTTAATGTTCAGCTAATTTTCATTTAAGGACGTTAAGTGTCTAGCAGATTACTCATCTCTAAATATTTGAAATTACGAAATTATTAAGAAAAAAAGGAAAAGAAAATAACTCAACAAAATACAGAATATTGTCCAGTTTTATCTCAATCATATAAACTTCTAACATTATTACCTGTGACTGAAATGTACACTCCAATTATACAACATTTGAGAAGGAACCATCGTATCGCACACATCACGCAATAACCTAAGAACAAGAAATATTATATCAATATACACATTGCAATTAACAAGAGATCGCTCACCTGACCCATCGAACTCATCCGAACAATTACCTAGACAAGCATTCTGACCAAGTTTCATGACAGGTGAGTCAAAAATGTGACCACTAGAGTGTTAACAAGGATTATCTATATTTGAGCAGTGTGATGCCAGGTGACCCATATTCGAGCTTGACATTAAAACCATCAATACAAACTTTCAGACCAATTTCCAGGATACTTGGATCAAAACAGTAGCCACTAGAGTGTAAACAAGATTTTTTTTTGCTCCTGTGACCTAGTTTTCCATGCATTATAACCCTTGTTCGAACTCATCCGAGCAATTACTCAAACAAGCATACTAACCAAGTATGATGATAATTGAGTCAAAAATGTGACCACTAGGGTGAAAACAAGGTTTTTCCATATTTGGGCGGTTTGAGCTAGTTTTTTTTATCCCAGATGACCCATGTTCAAACTTGTCCTAGAAATCATCAAAACAAACTTTCAAACCAATTTAAAGGATATTTGGATCAAAATATTAGGCAAAAGATAATTAACAATATTTTTCTATTTTTCGCTCCTGTGACCTAGTTTTTCATCCGAGATAACCTATGTTTAAACTTATCCGAGCAATTACCTAGATAAGCATACTGGCTAAGTTTGATGATAGTTGAGACAAAAATGTGACCACCAGAGTGTTAACAAGGTTTTTCCATATTTGGGCAGTGTGACCTAGGTTTTGACCCAAGGGAACCCATATTTAAACCTGACTTAGAAATCATCAAAACAAACTTTCAGACCAATATTCATGATATTTGGATCAGAACAGTAGCTTAGAGTGTTAACAAGCCTTTTCTATTCTAATCTCCTGTGACCTAGTTTTTGATCCGAGATGACCTATGTTCGAACTCGTCCGAGCAATCACCTAGACAAGCATCCTGATTAAGTCTGATGACAATTGAGTAAAAAATGTGACCACTAGCGTGTTAACAAGGTTTTTCTACTTTTAGCTTCTGTGACCTAGGTTTTTATCCGAGATGACCCTTGTTCAAACTCATCCGAGCTATTACCTAGACAAGCATCCTGACCCAGTTTGATAATGATTGCGTCAAAAATGTGACCACTAGAGTGTTAACAATGTTTTTCTATTTTTAGCTCCTGTGACCTAGGTTTTCATCTGAGATAACCCATGTTCGAACTTTTCCGAGCTATTACCTAGACAAGCATCCAGAAAAAGTTTGATGACAATCGAGTCAAATATGTGACCGCTAGAATGTTTACAAGGTTTTTCTATTTTTAGCTCCTGTGGCCTAGTTTTTCATCCGAGATGACCTATGTTCAAACTCATATGAGAAATTACCTAGAAAATCATCCTGACTAAGTTTGATGACTATTAAGTCAAAAATATGACCGCTAGAGTGTTAACAAGGCTTTTTCTATTTTTAGCTCCTGTGACCTAGTTTTCATCTGAGATGACCCATGTTCGAATTCAACCGAGCTATGGCCTAGATAAGCATCATGACAAAGTTTGATGATGATTGAGGCAAAAATGTGACCGCTAGAATGTTTACGAACAAGTGTTGACGGACGACAGACGACAGACGACGGACATTCAACGATCCTAAAAGCTCACCCTGAGCTAGCTCAGGTGAGCTAAAAATGAACCTTTCATATTAAATACTTTTTAAGATCCGTTTTGCATTCTATCAAAGAAATGTTTACCTGAACGAATTACTAATAACTATTTATATCCATGTCAAAACAATTGACAAACAATTTAGTCAAAATAATGTAACGCATGTATATACCAGTTATGTCATAAAAATTTTCTTAAACTTAAAAGTTAACTTACTTTTATATGATTAGATTATTATAACTATGTGCTTCACGGTTTATTTTTATATAATATTAATATCCCGTTACTAAGCTAAAAATGGACGTCAAAACTTTACACAGGTTGTACCACAAACATTATAAACAGTATAAATGATAATCGATACACATGTTAAGTTAACTACCGTCATTCATCGTAATCTACTAAAATTCACACACATTCATGATAATGTTATGCATCTTATGTCGATTACATATAGAAGGTATTATCTTTGATTTTGACAATTTTCGGATGAACTGAATATTAAAAAACCTACACATTCGAAACTTATTAAACTGACGAACAAAAGAAAACATTGTATTTCTCGTTTGAAATAAACGAAAATGTAGCAAAACAACATTCACAAGATTAACGGATGTTTTGGCGTTGGTGGAAGATCTCCCTTTCCTTTATACAAACCTAAATCATTCATACAATGTTCTGAGCAAAAACAAGAGAAACCAGAAAAGAGAAATATGGAAAAAACGGTTTGCATATTTTACGAGTAAAAAGGAGTATACCATGTGAATTTGTGTTGATTTTATCTATCTATGTTCAAGTAAAACTTACGAAATGGTTAAATAAATATGGTAGGGATCTTTATTCATTTATTGATACCGTGTTTGACCGCTTTTGGCATGAAATCAAAATGTTAGCGGGCAGATCATTAATGAACGCAATTTTATTCTTACTGAGAAAATTCATAGTATGTCTTGCTGTAAGGCTTGTGGCATATTTCTGTTAAAATAAAGTGATATTGGGATTCGTTTGAAACAATGGGTTTACGTGCTTAAAAACACTTTTGTGTACCGTAAGACATTTCAAAAACACATCGGTTACGGAGACAGGTGTGCGATAACCATGCGCAATGCCTGCCCGGAAAAAAGCAACATTTTCGCCTCCAGAATAATCTTTTTTAAATACTCAAAAATTGGAATTATTTTATTTCTTCTACGGTCAGAGAAAACAAAATATTGCCTTATACAACGACCGTGTATACATGCCCAATTTACAAGTCGTCGTCAATACACATCCAACATCAGGATGACATCCACTTAGACCACCTACGCGCAGTTTGGACATATATTTGGTTGTAATGTGTACCAGTGGTGTTAGAAGCAGTGGCAGTTTGGAAACCATTGCTAAGTATACCAGGCGTCGCGATGCGCGAACGATCAATACGTGGTAAATCTTTATTATTCTCCGTTGCATGAAAACATTTGCTACGGTTTGAAAGATCGGCTAGAAATGCCTACAACCCTAGCATAAATCATTCAAATGGCACGTTCTAGTGAATTAAGTAGAATTCAAGGCGGCATGCCAAAATGAGTGAAAACTTACATTTTTCTTTTTTATTCAATTTCTTTTTTTAATTGACAAAAACGTCTATAAAAGAAATATTTAATTGTAAAAATGAATATTAATGCTGGTCCGTGAATACACGAGAAAATTGAGCTTTATCTTTTTTAATTTACCTATTTTATTATTGTGTGTAATTCAAATAATGAAGTTATAAGAGGTCACATTTTGCAAAAACTAGTTTGCTTTTTCTTTTCTTTTCATTTCATTAATTATATGTTAAGTGATTTGCACAAATCTGACTCAACCGAAACAACTTTCATAATCTTTAAATATCTATACAAGTAAATAATGATATCCGTTAGCTATCTCCTGGAACTACTAAATTCTTTATAAAAAAAATAGTATGTAAACACATGAGGGGTTTTTCGTCTATCGGCCATCATTGAAAACAAAGAAAGTAAGCTATTTAGCAAGATAACATATGGACATAGTCAAAATATATGGCATTGGCATTATTATCATAAAGATATGAAACAGACACGAAGAAATCCAAAATTACAAATGATATTTTAGAATTGTACGCAGAAATGAATTATTACGCGCCAATCAGTAAACAAAACTGAATGCAATTTACAGAATCCTTAGCCACAGTCTTCATTATGAAGTTCTAGGTTTTACAATATGTACGTTTTTATTATCGTCTTCAAATTTGACTTTTTATCACAATAAACAGCCTCAGCATTCGTATAACAGATGTGTTACATCCACTTTTTACTACCAAAAACATGTTTAATTTTATAAAAATCTGGAAACACTATAACCCATGTTATTTTGAAAATCTGTGTTTTTTATGTCATATTATCATAACTGCGAACCCTGATTATTATATATCCACCTAACAATAATAAACATAACACAATTTTGACCCTAAAAAGAATAATATAATGGCTTCAATAGATTAGGATGAATTCTTAATAGACACGCAGACTTTGGTATGAAAACAAAACTGCACTCTAAATTATACACATATTACTTCTGAAGTAAAAGTTTACCGGTGTTTTTAGATGATTAGGGTGTTTGTTGTAACACTTCCCTCACAGAACCGTCGGTATGTTACAGTAAATCTACAGTGCTTAATGGATGTATTTAGACAAAGGTACTGTAGGTCATTTGTGTTTATCTAAAAAAATTAGATTTGTTATGGTGAAAACACAATCTGAATGAAATAATTTGTTTATATAGTTATTTTTTGATATTAATTTCATGTTTTCATTTAACAACATATGCCATTTGCATGTGGAATTATAGGTATAGTCATTGGTATATTTTGTGCGTTTATATTACATGTATTATTGAAGATAATTGTAATGATGATATAAATGAAAGAATGTCATCACTGTTCATTAACATCATCACAATTTTGACAAGAAACTAACTTAGAGATTAAACAAAATCCAACGAAATTAAAAGTACCGTCTTGTCGGCAATATTGACATATTGAAAACCGTTAGTGTAGACAGGACTGATTTTGAGAATTTGGCCCTCTATTCGATGCTAGAGGCATTTTGTAGTACAATTTATTCTTTGTACATTTTACCTATTTAGGGTATGCTGAATCCGAAAAAGGTAGATACCAAACTGAAAAACTTGGTCTTGACCATTTAAATGGCCATTTAAAGTGATCACTAAAATGGCCGCAATATTTCTTTATCGGAAATAAATGATATAACATAATATCAAATAAAACTTAAACATAGGAAAAGCCTGAAATTCGTCACAAGGCATGTAAAGGTAAATACAAATTAGACATCAAAACAGAATTTAACAAAAAGAACAATCCTATATGGCTGAAAAATCTAAGATGGCGGATATTTTCTATAGGCCACTACATGGGAAGTTATATAGATAATACTGAATATTTTATGGCATTTAAACATAAGAGAATAGAATGTAAGAGATAGAAATTCTAGAAAGTCCCTACTCCTTTGAACCATCACTATATTTAGGATTTACGCAGCGACCACTACACTCTTCCCAGCCCTATCTGCTAGATAGAGCTTTCAAGTATTTTGTCTGGCACTTTATGCAAGCATCAAGAGTGGCCTTTTGGACTCCTTTCTCTTGCATTTGCACAGCAGTAAATGCCGATATTTCTTCCAACAAGGTTTTAAAACTTTAATAACCACCTGAGAAATTTCTTAATAGTTTAATTTTACTCTTCGGAGCTTTCCAATGCAATTCACCTATGGCGATATTGAAATTCAGGAGTATACAAATGGAAATAAATTAAGCCTTCCCCTGAAATTTGATATTAGTTGTGATTGTTGAAAGCACTGTCATGAAATGACGAGTTAAGTGAGCTAAGAAATAGTAATTAGAAAAGTTGCGATACCGACTTAGGAATCATAAACCAGTAGATTTGTGAGTTTAGTCTATTCTTAACCATATTATGGAAGTACATTAAGCAAATGTGTATTTTTTTATCAAAAAATGTAAATGTTTATAAGTATGGTGTTGAAGTGTTTACAAAACATTTACTGTTGGATATTTTGGGGAATGTTGACGATTACGTTACCTCAAATGAAATTTGCAGCCAAACTTTTAATAACGTGTGTAACCGCCACATGCCCGGCTGATAGCCTCAACCCTCCTCTTCATACTACTAGTAACGCGCCTAATGCAATTTTGAGTTAGATTTTGTCATTCTTGGTGCAGAGCTTGTTCCAGTTGTTGAAGACTGACTACATGTGGTTCGTACCATTACCAAAATAATTACCCAAATACGATTTAAAATTTCATTTATGCCTGGTTTGAGGAGAAGGGTTGAGGCTATCATCAGGTGTATATTTAGTAGGAGGATTAATATTGTCATTAGAAATTGAAAACCAAAAGTACTTATATAACTAAAACAGACTGATGATACAATGCACAGAAAGGAGGGAAAAAACTTAAGTTTACATTAATTTTGATTTACTTATGGTTTTCTTATTACTTTCAAACGACACTATCCGAAAATGCATATACGAGTACTGGTTCAAAGTCAAATGACAGTGAATGGCCCTTCTTCTTGGGACTCTTGCATCATCTGAATAAACATCTACATATTTACCAGCTGAACTGCATCTAGAACATAATATTTGATCCAAATTAAAAGGCCATATCAAGAGATTTACCAATTTTATTTATTGACCAATAAGCACCAATATTAGGGAAAAGCTGTGTTTTTATGATGCATAATGGCATTGTTATAAAGTCAAAGGACTCAAGTATTTTAATCCAGCTCAATCAATAACAAGACCATTGTGAAAACTCTATTGACAATTTTATAAATAACAAAATGGCATTGGATCAGTCAGAATGTCTGAATATAATAAAGGCAGACCTTTCTGATATGGGTGTGTTTTTTATAATTGCCGAGTTTTCTGTCCATAATTTCATGGTGCAAAGTATCAGATCTGAATTGGAAGTGGTAATACGCCCAACATTGCAAAGAAAATAAATAATGTTTTTTTTTTTTTTTTTTTAAATAACATTAACCTTTACTTGAAGCCGACACAACGATTACGCTCAAACTGTTCTACTGTGATGTCAGCCAAACAGATAAGCTACAACATGCACATCCATTTCATATTTGCAAAGTTTGTTTCATCCAAATATTTTCCAAATTCTTAATATAACACGTTATAGCTAGGCCTTTGCGATTTCAAAATGAGACAATAGAAAGTTATCAGAATTAATCATGATTGCCCATGTAAAAATATTTTTATTTGGTCAATCCCTGCAGAAGAGTAGAGAAATCCATTGTAATTGTTAAAGAATAAGAAATAATTGTGACTTAATAGCTTATTTTTTTTAAGTAATTCGCACAAAGTCTGATTATGGCTACTACCCATAAGCTGTGTTACATTAGAGTGATTTGTTTTTACAGGTAATGATTCACTACACCACTATGTAATTCAGGCATCGCTTTTCCTACAGTTATACTTAATCCCAACATTATTTAAATGGTTAGAGGCTAAGCATCCCTTAAACTATTCTTCCACTATTACGTACCGGGACATAGCCCTTCCTATAACTACCATTACCACCAATTCCACAAAGCAGAACTTAAGTCCCCAAAACACTGAGTATTAAAGGCAACATTATTTAATCTGAGAGCGAGCTTCCACTACAAAACCTATTTAATTTCCCTTATAGATTCAGGAGCATAAACAATGGGAAGAGTTGTAGGAGAGTTATCAGAGACTGGTATTACTGCTTATCAGTTCTTACCACAACTACTTCACCACTTAACCCAAATCTAAATGCTTTTTCTGCATTTATCGTCCTAATATATTGACAAATAGACCTGTTGGTATTTACAGACCGTTAAATTTGGCTTGTGATCTTGGATAGTGTTGGGATAAATAATGTTGATTTTAAGTCACTCCTAATAGTCCAAACCTGACTTGTTATAAAACAAGCCGCGCTTATTAACGCTAAGGACATTTTCTGCTCAAACGTATAACCTGTCTGCCAAAAGCTTTAAATATTTACCAGGTTTTGAATTGGGTTTCAGCTGGTTCTTGTTGGATTTGAACATGAAAGCGTAATAGTTGATTTTGTTATTATATTTCCAATGCTCAAACTACCTTTAGCTTTGATCAACCGAGGTTCAAAGTCAAATGGGATCATAGAATGATACGCTCAAAGTCTTATTGTTCCGCAGCGGAATAAAAAACCCTAAAATCCATAGGAATGCCTCCTGAGGAATCTCAAAGCCAAACAACCCTAATTCAACTACAAATCACAGGTTTAAATACCCCTACCTACCTGTATTTTTATTGTCGTTCCTGGATAGCGACATATACAATTTACTAGATTTGATCATTTTTCCCTGAACACCGCCTGCCATAAGCCATTCAAAACGTAAAATTTAATACCAAAGGATAATGAACTGAAAGAAAAAAAATTGGGACGCCTACGGAGCACGCCATCCGCAATGTTTTTGTCGGGTTAGCTTTGTATAGAATTAAACTACTTTCTTCATTTGCAAACCCGAAGCCAAGTGTGTGGGCTTCTACAGTGTAAACAATGCATGAATATTTTCTATTAAGGGAACAAACATTAGCTCTATTGTTCACAAATGAGGTTTTGTCACAATTTGTCTTTAAAAATTTATTTCTATCTGCCCTTTGATCGTTGTAATTTTTCATACCAGCAAAACCTTTGCACATTCTTCGGCAGTAAAAAAATCCGAAAAAAACATGACTTGTCCAAGCCAATGCTTCAGACTGTGACAAATAATGTCATGTGTACATACATTGTATAAACAAATGGGCCATCAATTCATGAGTGTGATGTAAAATATACATTTAAGACCGTATTGCATAACACAGTAAAGTTCTTTCATATCTTCAGTATCAAATTCATTCAGAGACATGCTTTGAGATATAAAAATATATATGACCTTTATGACCTCCTTAAGGGGCAATGTTTACGTTTTAACCTTATATTAGATTAATTATATATAATTAACTGAATAATTGTATTTACATAGAGAATAATAGAAAAATCCACAGGAACTTGAAATTCTATCAATATTAATGATAATATCCTAAATATACCCCTTATACAGCATAAATAAGCACAAGGACTGAAACGCCTTTTCCCCTCCCCAACATTTTTTACGCCGAACAAATCAACAAAACAACGGATCAAAATAATCTATCGGGCCATTTTGATAAACAATACACAAATGTATCAAATACCAGCGATAACTTTTTTTAATCGCGTAGCTATGTAGGAATAATTCAACATTTTCTGATTATTTCCCACGATCTGAGTTTGTCGCCGACTCCATTTCGTGACGTCACTGGATTTGTTCGGCATAAATTAGGTTGAAACCATGTGGCAACCAACCATTTGATTAATAGTCCGGCGCGTTACGAGAGGTGTTCATATATGAATGCAAATAGGCCAATATCACGCTTTTAACTATGTACATATATCGCATAGATGGTTGTGTAACCTCTGAATTGATACAATATATGTGTATATCAGTTCAGTCTAGCTTTGACAATAGCTCGATTAACGCTATCTACTCATGTATACTAAAGCTAAAATCTATGGGAATAAGCCTCCTTTCACTGACCGAATACGGTCCTATATCAAGAATCGCTGTGTTCTTGGTATACAGGCGAAAACCATATTTAATGAAATATGTCGTTTTTATGGGAACAATGAGCGTTCTTTTTTATCTGTCACACGGTGGTTTAATTACTTTAAAGTGGTGTGGATTTAGTTAAACATGCATCTCATGCACACCGTCCGAAAATTCCAACTTCGCCAAAAGTAGTGTAAAAAGGATTTGATTGCTACTGATGCAAACTTTTTTAACTAAGTAAACAGCTAAATGCGTTTGTATCTCTGTAGGAGCCGCTCATACAATTTTTAGACGTGATTTAAAAATGAGACGGATAAGTGCCAGATGGATACCCTCCATACAAAAAAGGAAAAATCGTGCTCTTGTGAGAATCTCTAAACAATTGTTGAAATAGTTTCCAGTCTTTCGCAAATATCATAACTGGCGATGCGACTAGGGTTCACTTTTATAAGCCCAAACGAAATAAACTTAACAAAATATGGGCAACCAAAGAAAGTCAAAGACTTTGCAAAGCAAAACTCACCATGAGCGTCAAAAAGTTATATAATTATGTAATTTACTTTTACAATCAAGGTATTGCTATTCAAATCCCCGTAACAAGCGTAAATTTGTAAATTCCTAGTTTTATAAAGGCAAGGTCTTTCATAAAATAAAGAAATGTTTCAAATACCGTCGAGCAGCAACTGCTCTCTGTTGCATGACACAAAGCGGCCATTGTAAAAGCATATCTGAAACACGAAAAGGTTGTTGAGCTTCCTCACCCTCCTAATTCGCCAGATTTTACCCCTTGTGATTTTTCTGTTTCTGAGGCTCAAAGAAACCTTTGCTTGAAGAAAATAACGCGTAAAAAGTCTCGGTTGCCTATTTTCAAGTGTTTGAACAGTATACATCAAAATGATTATGAAAATGCATTTAGAAATTGGATTGAAATACGTAAACTTTGTATATCACATTGTGTTAGAGAACAGAGAAAATTATTTTGGCACTGTTTGTTGAGCACTTCTAAAAATTGACCCAGTTGTATTCATAATCGTAACTACCCTGTCGTGCCACCACAATGAATTGATTTGAACTTAACATATTTGAGTTATTTTTATTCTTTAAAAACGTGAAATATATGAAATTGATGAAAATAATTTAATATAATACACCATTAGGTCTCATCGTGGTAATGCCATGATATTTACACAGTGCTTGCAATCTAAAATTTTGAAATGATTTAAACCTTCATCTGTTATAATGACTTTTAAAATTGTACAGCTTACACTGTATACTGTCAATGTTTTTATTGTTTCGAGTTGAATTTGCTGTCTATTTCATACTCATAATCCATGAGATTGTAAACCGGGTTTCTATTATTAATTATAGACTATTTCTCTCTGGGTCTCGGATACAGTAAAATCATGGAATTATTGCAAAAAGAACATAGATATATCATGGAAACTAAGCGGAGACAAAAATTGAAAGATTATAAAGGAAATCATGGAAATAGGACTGACAATAGAGTTATAGTTCTTGCACACAATATTGTCTTTCTCTCATTTATTTTTATATAAATCCCTTTAAATTGTATTCATTGTTGTCAAATTTGCTGATCGTATAAGCAATTAAATTAAAAAATTAAAAAAGATAGAATACTGCACCTTTTATCAGTATGTATTAAAGATATAGTCCGGGCGAACATAATTAGGACAGACAAACTTCTCCCGCTTCACGACGACGAATAAAATGTTTAAGTCTGTCTAATTTTTACAAATAGAAACTCATAGTATATAACACTCACTGCATAGTATTAATATCTTTTCATTATTAACATTTTACGCAAGATTGATCTGAAACAACTTTATAAATAAATTTATCTGTAATATGAATAAGCGGATGGAGTACTCGCAGGAGAAGGAGTCTCTAAAATCTCATATAACATTATATGATATTTCGCTTTATAAATATTATATTTATCTTTATAAAAAATGTTTTGTTAGCATGCAGAAACTGTCAGCAGCAGGTTTCGTTTATTTGACGTTTTGTTACAATTAATACATGTTTGAAAGTCAGTTCTTCTGTTTGTCTTTATATGATGTAGCAGCTGTGTTCCATATGACATGCTATGATTAAGCTCAATTTTGATACAAAAGATAAAGTAAAGAATTAACAAAATCAATAGTTATAGCGAACATGTGAGGTTCACCGACCTCGGTTTTCGAAATATCTTCAACTTATTTGTAGGGAAAATAACTCTGAAAAATCTAGGTCAACAATGCCTTTTTCATCTGAATTTCATGTATCTGACTTCAATTCGGGTTATGAGTAATTTGCTAATGATTATTGGATGACAGAATCATGACACTATAGCTATCTAATGTTGTTCTTCGATAGTTATAATTTGTCAGATGGCCATTCTTTGGTGATAAAAACCGTGATGTATAACTAATAAATTATTGATAACTTGAACAGCACTACATCCAAGCTGAAAATCTAAATGCTGAATGAAACTTTGTTATGACTCCTTGTAACCATGTAAAATTATACATAATACTTGTTTTCAGGTTACTTAATATCTCCAAGTAGTAGTATACTTACTTTTGGAAATGCAGAACTGGAAATTTCATTTAAGTTTGTTTGCTCTGTGTTTCATTCAGGGTAAGTAAAATAATCTATATAATTGATATACAATTTGTTTTGTATCTTTTTAGTAGAGCTGCATCTGATTTATCTTATGAACACATTTTGCATGAACAATACATTACATTGTTATTTGTTTCCGCTTTTTAATTCTTATTTTACAAATCTCTTCAGCAATATGCTATGGTTTATAAGCGCTTTTGCACACAGATTGCTTTTGCATTCTAGACAATTGTATAACACTTTCTGACAGTCAAACAACTACAGCTAAAAAGCTTTATAGCTTATTATATACTCACTTTCTGTCATAAAAAAATCTTTTTGATACATTATAAAAACACTTTTAGTAAAAACCAGTCTCCCGCATGTATGAAATAAACATGTAACAGTCGAAATTTAAAGATGGTGTGTTCAGACTTTCCCACAATAATGCCATAAACATGAAGTTATTCTAACGAATACAAAAATATAATGTACGCGTAAACTAAACTAACTAATAATCCATTTCATTACAGGTGTATCATGTCAAAGCATTGTTCTAACTCCGACCAAAGCTTACGCCGATATAAACGAGGCCCTTACGTTAACCTGCACGTATATCGGTTACAACAATATCGCAGGGACGAAGTGGAATATAAATAACGAATCTACACCAACTATAGTAAGACATCAAAATGGCATTTGTAGTGGTAGTGATATCTTCGCCAATGACAACATTTACAGAGTTGGATGTCCATCTAATACATCTTTTACCGTAACTATATTACGTGTACAACAAAGAGATCTTAATATACCATGGATGTGTTTTGGTCATACTAAAATAAGTAATACTGTTAGAATATTAGCAAAAGGTAAGTTTTAGTAACTATCATCTCAGTATTCAGTTTAACTTTTGATGTTGACATTTCCATAAATAACTCAAATTGTGTTCCCTCAAACGTATGTCATGTCTTTTGTATTGTTATATCTATTATTTTATATGACTCCGCCTACTCAGTTCAAAATTAGAGCGTCGGATTTATAATTTAGGACCGCTGATTCGATCATTGAGTGAGCAAAATTTTTAAGTGACAACTGATCTAGGATAGTGAGTCTTAGCGGTAAGTTATACAGGGAAATCGCTTAATTGCCTTACTGCCGAAACATAACAAAACGTGTTAATTCAGCATTAAAACAAACAAACAAAATACAATCAGACAAAGGCAAAAACAAATAAATGTAATGTTGTGTCACGCTTTCTCCAATTTTTTCATGAACACATTTTTATTTGCTGTGTATGTGAACTACTTTCTTTCCCGATACCCAAGACTTACCGATTTTCATCTTCCTTATCCATTTTATCTAAATATCATTATGTAACATTCTCAAATGTTCTTGCTAAGTTTCCTATGAATTTTCTATTAAATTGTTTATTGGTACGCCACTCATTATTCCATTCTTTGGTCAAACCTTGCCCTATTTCACTTTTTGTTTTGTTCAACATGGTTAAACAAATCCGAATATGCTATGCTGCTTGGTTATATTAAAACTGTGTTCTTTGAACGTTGTAATTAGAAGTTGATTTTCTATAAATTTTGAGTCAAATGTTCATATAAGTAATGAATGCATATATTTAAATGATTACATATATTAATATGCACAAATATTTGCAGTACATATTTTACATATTATTTGATGTTTGAAAATTGTTTTATTGGCATAATTATATACATATCTATATATAATTCACTGAGTGTGGTTAACCACTACTCACAACATACAGGATCTTTATAATTGAATAAAGATTATTTAATATGTCTATTTATATCACTTACAACCAGTAATACGTAGACAATATTTCTGCATTCGAAATATGTTTTACAGATTGGACGCTAGATACAATATTTCTATTATTGTGCTACCAAGATCGAAAATTTTAACAAGTGGTGTTCACGAGTCAAGTGTTCTTTTTATGTTTGAAAATATAAGAAAACAAAGTTAAAATTACATATTATGAATAGAATTAGGCATTAAGAATTCATTTGTGGGATTTTTGCTGATACATCAAATGGTTCATATAAGCTACTAAAAAACATATAGGAGTACAAACAAACAAAAGTAACAATTAAAAGTCAGTAAGTATATATATGGTCTGGTAGTTGCTGACCTGCAATTAATAATCAAATTTGAGTAACTTATTCATAAACACTGTTTATGAAAAGAGTATTAACTTTTGATATTCCACGCAATAATAAAAACATGTGTTAAATACAATTCATTGATTATTTTTACTTATAACATAAGGGAAAAAACACAACAACAATAGATAGACTGGTACTATGTTTATCTAAATATTTAAAGATATAATATTGGTGAAACTTAAATAGAAGGGAGCTATAATGTGAACATCACGCTTAAATATATGTATATTGATATAATTTATAATCATATCGCAGTGATTTACAGAAAAAAAAATATAATCATAATTATCAACCACGGCACCGGCGAACCAGAAATATTTGAACTGCTTTAAATTTTGTTTTCTCGTAAATGAACTCGCAGTTGCTGTATATAACGGTCTATAAACTCGCCTCTTTTTTCATGGACCATAACTCGGCCAAATTATGTAAGTAATATGCACAAGCACTTGAGCTACAGATCAGTTGAAAAGTTTCATTTAATAATATCGAATTTACTTTGAGTGATTGTAGTTCAACGAATCCGCGTCAATATTGGAAACTGGTTAAATTATTAGTCAAAGAAAATTCCCCAAATTGTAAATGTATGCCCCCATTAATAAAAGATGATAATTCCCTAGCCTTTTCTGATAAAGACAAGGCCGATACACTTAATGATTTTTTCGTATCTATTTCAACTATTGATGACTCTAATACCTCTTTACCACCGCTAGTATATAAGACGAATAAACAGCTCAATAGTTTCTGCATTACCAATCAAGATATTATTGACGTTCTTTCAAATCTTATTATTAATAAGGCAAGTGGACCTGATGAAATAAGCCATCGTATGTTAAAGGAGACTCGTTTTACTATTTGTGAACCCCTAAAAATATTATTCAACATGTCTGTCAATCTTAATATGTACCCAGATAGCTGGAAAACTGCAAATGTTATGCCCTTATTTAAAAAGGGTGATAGCTCAATGCCGTCAACTTATCGACCAGTTTCACTTATTAGTTGTATAGGTAAAGTTATGGAACGAATTATGTTTAAGTACATTTTGTATATCTATAACTATTTTCATGAAAATAATCTAATCTATAAAAATCACTCAGGTTTCCTACCTGGACATTCTATAGTGTATCAATTAATTGACATTTACAATCAAATTTGCAAAGCGTTTGATGACAAGAAATCGACTTGCATCGTTTTTTGTGATATTAGTAAAGCCTTTGATCGTGTATGGCATAAGGGTTTGATTTTCAAATTAAAACAATATGGAATTACAGACAATATTCTTAAATGGATGTCTAGTTACTTAATAAGTCGAAAACAAAAAAGTATTCGTTGGATCTACTTTTTCTGAGGAAAGAACTATTAATGCCGGCGTGCCACAGGGCTCAGTACTTGGACCTCTACTTTTTCTTATTTACGTGAACGACATTGCAGATTCTCTGTCTAGTGTAACACGTTTATTTGCCGACGATAGTTCATTATCAGTTAGTTCCAATAATATTAATCATATCGAATCGACATTAAATGACGACCTCAATATATTATCAAAATGGGCAAAACAATGGCTTGTTAAATTTAATCCGACTAAAACAGAAGTATTATTTCTCTCTCTTAATAGACAAAACGTGAACGTACCTACACGTTTCTTTGATAATACACGCTTAACGTTTGTTGACAACCATAAACACTTGGGTATTACATTTAGTAAAGATGGTTCATGGCATGAACATATTACAAATATAGCATCTTCCGCCACAAAAGTTTTAGGATCTATGCGTATGTTAAAGTTTAAGCTTAAACGGAAAACTTTGAATCAAATATATATATCTTATCTTAGACCAATTATTGAATATGCATCGATTGTTTGGGATAGCTGCACATTTTATGAAAAAGATCTTTTAGACAAAATTCAGTATGACGCTGCACGAATTGTAACTGGCTTAACAAGATCTGTATCAATAGAACGTTTACTAAAAGAAATAGGGTGGGTTTCATTATCAGGCAGAAGAAACATGCAGAAATTAATTTTGGTATATAAATATAGCCGTGGAGAATTACCCTGTTATCTGTCTGAACTTTTTCCAAATACCGTTTTAGAAGCAAATACATACAATTTGAGAAACAATTCTGACTATGCTACTATGGCACGCCGGCTTGAAATCTATGCTAAATCTACAATACCTTCATCTATCAAACTTTGGAACAATTTGGACACTCATTCTCGTACTGTAGACTCATTATCAGCTTTTAAACGTAATCTAAAAGAAAAATTAAACCCCCAATAGTTCCCCCATTCTTCATTTCTGGTGAAAGATTTTCACAGGTCCATCATGCAAGAATACGTAATAAATGTAGTAACCTAAACTCCGACTTATTTTACAACCACTTACGTGATAATCAAAAATGTGACTGTGGATATACCATAGAGGATGCAGAACACTATTTTTTCAAATGTCCGTTATTTCATCAACAGCGCCATCAATTATTCATTAATACCCGCCCATATCATCCTTTAAAGGTAAAGAAACTGCTGCTTGGAATTGATAACTTGTCGCCTGAAGATAATGACATTATTTTTGGGCATGTTCAAAAATATATAAAGAATACGAATCGTTTTAGAACTTAATATATCTTAATGATAATTAAATATAACTCCGTGTTTCTATTTTTAATGCTGGTCCAGTAACGGAAATGGAGGCGAAACCTGTTTTATTTTTTTCAGAGGAAAGGTGAACAGAAGTTTGGATGTTTTTAGAATGTGTATTTTTTTTTCTATTTCATGATATTTAAACCTCATATCAATTTTTGTTGTTGTTTTTTTTCTCATAATATTGTCATCTAAATACTTTTATATCAATATAGATATATATAGAAGCAAACTGTAAATATTACTCTGATGATGCGCAAAAAACATATATTTTCTTGTTTCTTCGCCTAACACATTAATTACGTAAACAAGTTTTATATCTTTATAATGAACATTTTGTTATTTAAACTTGCCTGGGAAGGGCCTTCATTAATGTTGGTAAAACTTGTGGCCCAACCCATTTGCTTCAAACTGTTAACATACATGTTTCCTTGTTCGTATTTATTGTATTCTGTTTAGTATTAATGTAATCTCTATGTTACATGTACATGTTTCAAGCAATAAAATATGATTAAATCAAATAAAAAGTTTCATTGAAAATGCATTATTGATATAATAGGAGTAGTCCGTACGCATTTATTAACACATTTTTATTCAATGTTCATAATTCGGCCAAAATCATTCAAGCAGAAATTTGTGTAATATGCGCAAGTACTTGAGCTAACACTCAATCCTGTAAAGTAGCAATGCAATTGCATTATTGGTATAAGAGAAATAGTCCGGAAAAAATCATTCAAGCACCATTTCTCTGACAAAAATAAGTGAACCAAACAATGCCGAAACATGCAGAACAAGACTTGGTACTTATCATTCCTGTAAAGTTTTGATGAAATGGTTAAAGTAGTTTCTAAAGAGAAGTCCGGACAAAGTTCTTCTGTGTGTAGCTGGCAACACAAAAAAGAATTGTTGTATTGAAGGACCATAAGGTATTCCAAAATTAAATAAAAGAAACGGTGTCAATCGGAAAACCAGTGTAATATGAGACATGAGTACATACACACTTTGATAAGTTGGACTGTATAAGCTCTAAAATGGTTTATTCATTCCAAGGATCAGTTCACTATTAAGGCCACTTGTGCAGTCCAGTTATTGGTCTAAATAGAGATAATTTTCTAAACTTTAGCTACAAATCAATCCTTTATAGTTTCATTGCAATTACTAAAGTGGTATATTAGGAGTAGTTCAGACATACTTAAAAATAAAAGTCTTTCAAGGACCATAACTCTGACAAAAATCAATGAACAAGAAAATACCGACGATATGAATAGCAAGACTTGGAACTGATCATTCCTGTAAAATTTGGATAAAATTGCTTTAGTAGTTTTTGAGAAGTACTCTGGACAAGTTTTGTGACGGACGCTTGGACAGAGAGACAGACAGAGGACGGAGAAGTTATCCCTATATGTCGCCACTACTCTGTAGAGGCAACACATAAATGGTTAAAATATATTATTGATAGAAGACAATTCCCGAAATGATGGCCGTTTGGGACTATTCATTTATTATAAAAAAGGCAAAAAAAATACAACCACAATTCTCATATCCAAATAACTTTTGGGATATTGCAGTTACAACCTGTTTTGCGAAGTTTGTTTTTTAATGAAAATAAAAATACTAAAATTTGAAGAAACGGTATGTTAACTGATTGGGTTTAATGCATTTTTGTATAAGGGCAAGACTCGACGTTCTTTGTGACACATATTGAATTTCGAGGTATGCTTATTTGTAAGTCTTTGCAAATGATTCAATAAAAATATAATAGTTTTGGCTCTCGATATTATATTAATTGAATTTGATAGCATATAAGCCCGTAAGTTATTAATTCCTATCTCGTTTATATGCTTTATGGAGTAGACTGCAGATTTATGAGTACTTGACATCACAGAAAAATGCTTCATAAAATGTCGTTGCCTCGTTTCTTAATTTTCGAATGACCTCTAAAATATTTTTTATCATATATTGCATGTATATACAATGTATGCATTTGTAATTCTCTGTGTTATGATTGTTTCACATTTTTAATATATTTCAGTTCCTGTTGAAAATGTAGTACTTTCTGGACCAAGTTCTAGTTACATAAAAGAGCATTCCCGACAAACAATCAAGTGTAAGACATCACCTGGTCGACCACAACCACGAGTAGGTTGGTATCTCCATGAATCTTATACAGTTGTAAAACAAAAGATAACTGTAAATTCGTCAACACAGATACTCAGTGATAGCGGGGATGGACTTATAGCTGTCGAAAATACCTTACAATTTTACCCAAATAGATCGATAAACAACTGGATGTTGAGTTGTGAAGCGTGGACAGACGACGAAACCAGAGCAGTTTATAGCAACAGATTGACTTTGAATGTTGCTTGTAAGTCTTCTTTGAAAGAAATGATAAATTTGTTTTTCATTGATATAGTCAAAATAAGGCTATTCTTTTTAAAGTAAAGCTTTTACAATTGGGAGCTTTTTTGTTGAGATAGTTGTGTTCGTTAAACGTCATTTGTTTTCTACATTCAATTTACAAAATCACTGTATTCCGACATTTGCCGTTTTCATTAATAATTGATTTTGATAAAAAGATAGGGGTCACAACAATCAATAAATGTGACGTCGGGAATGAGGCGTACATAACGGGAAACTAATATATTCAATTCTCGAAATTCATTGGTCCTAAGTATGTCATTATGACCTTATTATGAAGGATTAGGTATTATTTAGCAATCAAAAAGACCAAAACATATTTCCTTTTGTACTGTAACAGACAAATTGTATTTACTAAATTTCTTAAAGATTGTTGAATCAACACTTTCCAATTTTGCCGATCGAAAACAATCTGTTTACTCATTCAAAGCATTTATACGAAAGCCTAATAGTGTCAAATAAAATAAAAAAAATAAAAATACAAAGGCGTCATTACGCAAATAAAGGCGTTATAACGCGAATCAAAAGGCTTAATTACGCAAATCAAAAGGCGTAATAAAGCGAAAACAAAGGCGTAGAAACGCAAATTAAGGCGAAGTTACGCGATTAAAAGCGTTGAAACGCGAATGAAAAGGCATTTTAACGCGAATAAAGGCGTTATAACGCGAGTCAAAAGGCGTAATAACGCAAATAAAGGCGTATTAACGCGAATCAAAAGACGTAATATCGCTTTTATTTGCGTTATAACGCGAAACAAAGGCGTTATTACGCAAATCAAAAGGCGTAGTAATGCAAAGAAAGGCGTAGTAACGCGAACAAAAAGGCGTAATAACGAAAATCAAAAGGCGTAGTAACGCGAATAAAGGCGTAGTAACGCGAAACAAAAGGCGGAATAACGCAAATTAAAACGCATTATAATGCCAATTTTATACCATATTAATACTTATCGAATGGCTTGTAACGTGAGAAAGGAAGAACAATATTGATCTGAATTTATTGCTCAAGATATAAACTCGTATAGAATAATAAATGTAGATAAGGTCAATTTACTGCCTATCTATTTACTCATCCTATATTTACAAACACAGTTTTAATCACTGTTGTGAATAACTAACAGTACATTTTCATTCATTCAGGCATAATCACATGACATCATCTCCATTCATCATTATAAGAGTTATGGGTAATGTCTTGTTCTTGTTGTGAGTTACTATGCTCAGTGAACTGTCTCTTGTTATGTCCTTGTTATGTCCTGTGTTGTTAAGTGATGTCCAATAAATATCTTGTATATTTGTTAAGTAAGAATGTGATTGGATGAGAGTGATTTCATATCATTTTATGCATGGGCAATCTACATTCCTTTTCTAAGAAATCATTTTCAAACTTTGCATTGTAGAGTTAACTACAGTATTTCTTCATAGAACATTAATAAATATTGTCTTTATATAAATTAACTTTACGTTTGTTCTTTATAAAACGGATTTGATAGTTATAATTTTATATAATAGAGGTCAGCCAGTTGCACCTGGTAAGATATGTTTTACTTTAAATTACTTAAAATAAATGTGATGAAATGTATGGATTAAATGGTTGGAATTATTTGAAATGTGAAATGTTGAAATGATATTGATATTGAATTTGTATTTTAATGTGTGTTTTTGTATTTCATGCATTTATAATTGTTTATTCATTTTATAGGTTTCATTTACACATCATCAAAATAAACATTGAACACCCAGTCAGAGTTGGTCATGAATTTTACACAAACCATACTCTACAAAATGGCTCCCCGATGAGGAATGATGTAACCAAGAAAACCAGGGCCATCAGCTTATTCTACAGTAAGGGCAGTTCTACTGTACTACATGTGGTGATTTTTAAAACAGACACACCTAAGACAGCGCCGGCAACCCTTCCTGCGGAAGTCGGGAGCTGAAGTGTTCCCCTTCAGTTTCCAGGCCTTCTACATTATAGATATATCCCCAATTCCATAGTGCAATTTCCCCTTCTATTTTTTCTCTGGGCCCATGACAGCTGTTTACTGCGTCCAACATTACAAACAGTGACTTTCTTATATTTACGTGTGGAAGGATACATGTAAAAAGGAGGATTTTCGGACATAAACTGTGTTTTTGTGATATTTTGTACGTGTTAATATATTTTAAAAGTGTTTTAATAATTGTGTTTATTGGATAATTGAATTGGACATATATGTAAGTACTTTTGTGTTTATTTTGTATTTTTTCTGAAGACGCACTATTTTGCTCATCTCTTTCAATATGTGATTTGGTTTATTTACAAAAAAAAATTGAGGTAATTAAACTTTAGACTTTTATCATTCAATTTGATATATATAAGTGCATTCTATTGAATTTATTTCTAAATTATTATAAAAAAAAGCACTTATTCATTTAGACAAGTCATTATTTTTGTTGAATAAAGAGTAGTATATATAATTACTGAAGTTTGACATTTTCATTTTTTAGAATTTTTAAATCTTAGGTACAGCATTAAAGTTTAATATTGTTGACATACAATTATCATTTTTTCTATTAAGAAAGCTCAGATTAGGTATAGATTTATTTTCTTTAAAAGTCATTCTTACTTAGATTTGAATAGTGACTTACATTTGAGAATTATACAGGTACATGTCTTGATAATATTTACTTGTTGGTATATTTCACAAAGAATTCACATATAAATCTTTGTTTCATAGTGCTAGTAAACAATTAAGGTTATATATAAAAGATCATTTGCGTAATTATGACTTTGTGGTAAAAAAAAAATAACAATAAAACTTTAGGGTGTTGTTTATTGTGTTGATATTAAGAATTGCTAGATAAATTTGTGTTTCCACTGCCAATTAAAATTCTTATTGCCCAATTTCATGTGTACATGTTTGTGAGTGATATTGTGTTATATGTAAGTATTTTATTGTGTACATAGTGTGTATATTCATCCTCCACCCTTCATTTTTCATTATTTAGTACTGTGAAATTTCAGTCTATTCTCCAGTGTTGAGGGAAATTTGACTGAAAATACACAAATTATCAAGATTCTCAAGTTATTGCTGGTTTCATTTGATTCAATTGCAGCAATCCATAGTTTCAATAAATTATATTTTTGAACACCCCTGCAACATTATTAAATTTCTCAGTCTGTCCTGTTTAGCTCATTTGTTGAGATACTTGTGAAAAAAAAATTTTAACAGAAAGTTTTTCAGTTTTAGCAATAACCTGTTGCATAAATACATATTTCGATACAGTTGATTGATTTTTAATATTAACAGGTATTTTGTTTCCCCAGTTATCAGTCAGGTACTACTTTCATAAATCACCTAAGTGTAAAATGTAAAGGATTCCATGCTTATTCAATGCTTTTCTAACTCTGGTATGTTTTGACTAAATATTTCAGACAGGTCAAAGTATATTATTTTTATTTTTATTTATAAATAAGTGCATTGATCTAGAACTCAAAAAGAATACTTTCAGTGCATCTTATTTTGTGAGTGAGGCAGATATAAGTTTAACTTATACATTTTAGGTGCAATTTTTTATGCTGCATTTTTATGTTTTAATTCAGCATTTTTGTTACAATACACCTTCCTTGATCATTAATTTTACATCCTACATCATTGCTTAAAGATGGAAAAATGTCTCAACGGATGAAACTTTAGGTGCCACAGGTGAAACAAAAACTTCTCTTTCAGAAGAAGATATGCTGAAAATACTCTCCACCAAATACACTTTCACCCCTATTAAGATTGGTGAATATGGAGGTACAAAACCCAAAATTCCACCCCTTGTTACCAACCCTTTGCTTGTTCCATCTAACACACCTAGTCATTTTTCCTTCACTTCTCCAAGCACTCTTGCCATTGTTTCAAAGCCACCAAAGATTCCATTTTTATCTGGTGATGAGCCCTTGGCTATGGGTGTGATCTCCTTTTATGAATGGCGTCATGAAGTACGTTGTCTTATGAGAGACTCTTTTATTCCTAAACACCAGGTATTACAGGCCATAAAGACTTCCCTTAGAGACACAGCGATGCGACTTGTAGTTTCTTTAGGCGATTCTGTTTCTATTGATTCTATTTTTCAGAAACTTGAGTTTAACTTTGGTGAACCTGCCCGTCAAGGAATTACTATGCGGGAATTCTTTAATTGTTCTCAACGTCCAAATGAGTCTGTCACTTCTTTTGGCTGTAGGTTAGAGATAACCCTTGAACAAGCTTTTGAAGGTGGACATATACCCAGATCAGGCCGTAATGAATTACTTTGTGAACGGTTTTGGTCAGGCTTATTGTCAAAAACTCTCAAAACTAACACTCGTCATAAATTGGACACTGCTGTAAACTATGACAATTTTCTCCGAGATGTTAGACAAGGAACTTTCTTTAACTAACAATACCAAAGTGAAAGCTCGTGCCAATTTACAAACTTTTGATGTTAAGAGTGAAATGGAAGACCAAGAAAAGAGGTTAAATTCCAAGATTAGCAACATCCAATCAGCCTGTGATAAGAAATTCACGAAATACTATTATTGAACGTCTAGACTCTATGTCAGCTTCTAACAGACCTTTACCCTCTCAACACTTGTTCAATCAGCCACCTCAACCCCTACCACCCTCATTTAACCAACCACCTTCCTTTGTACAACCACAAGCTACTGTTCAACCCAATAAACAGTATCAAAATAATAATACATTTCAGAGAAAGAGTAACAGGTATCAGAACAAACAGCAACAAAACAGATTTCACTTCAATTCATCTGTACACCCAAACTATCAACCACCTCTGTAACTGGCCGTACAGAGGAGGGAAATTATCAAGGCCAACATAGTTTCCTGAATAGAATTGTTGGAGATTCAAATATTGCCCCTATTGTTTTTCATCATGTAAATACTCATGGTCTTATAGATACAGGGTCAATGGTTTCAACTGTGTCAAATTCATTTTATCAAGCATTGCCAAATAAGCCAATATTGTTAGCCTTGGAAATTTTGGTGTTGACCTGAATGTTTCTGTTGCCAATCGGATAAATTTAGTTGTCTGACACCTTTGCTTATTAAACATTGTGTTGTTTTAAACTTAAAACCCAGACTATTATTTCAATGCACTATGGATAGATAATTATTTTTTTGTCTACGCAAATTCAGATTGATTGAATAATTGCAAAATATTTCAATCATTTTCCTTTTTTTTGTTGCGTATTTGTTTTTTTTGTCAGAATTTCTCTTCTGATTTCTTGCATTTTCCCATTTATAGGGATTGATAAATATATCCTATTTCACTTTCACCGTTATAGGTTTTTGTAAAGTGATAATACAACATTCATAAATCATTTTATTTTTAATGTTGGGAAATTATTCATTTCAACAAATAGATATTAATCTATTAATCAATTATTTTATTTTTTAATTTTAGATAAAATTTTCATTCAACATTTCAAAACTAATTCAATCACTTTAAAATAAATAAATAAAGTTTTCTTTGAAATAAATTTTATTTTGTGTTTGTTTGCAAACTATAAGCTCTTATTCATGCATAACCATTTCACCTGAACTTCATTTCATTCCATGTTAACTTAAATTTCATTTCATTTAAACATTCACTGATCATTTCCATAGTCTATATTAATACAAGGGAAACAACTCAAATAACCCATTGACAATTTATATCTATTGTTATCTCCCTTGATCTTAACATCTCCAGTATACATTAACATTGATATAAGTTGATGTGTGATTATTTTATTTTCATCATTAAGGAAATGTCGGTGCCATTTAAATCTAGTGGGGGAGTGTGTAGATAAGGTCAATTTACTGCCTATCTATTTACTCATCCTATATTTACAAACACAGTTGTAATCACTGTAATGAATAACTAACTGTACATTTTCATTCATTCAGGCATAATCACATGACATCATTTTCATTCATCATTATAAAAATTATGGGAAATGTCTTGTTCTTGTTGTGAGTTACTATGCTCAGTGAACTGTCTCTTGTTATGTCCTTGTTATGTCCTGTGTTGTTAAGTGATGTCCAATAAATATCTTGTATATTTGTTAAGTAAGAATGATTGGATGAGAGTGATTTCATATCATTTTATGCATGGGCAATCTACATTCCTTTTCTAAGAAATCATTTTCAAACTTTGCATTGTAGAGTTAACTGCAGTAGTTCTTCATAGAACATTAATAAATACTGTCTTTATATAAATTAACTTTACGTTTGTTCTTTATAGAACGGATTTAATAGTTATAATTTTATATAATAGAGGTCAGCCAGTTGCACCTGGTAAGATATGTTTTACTTTAAATTACTTAGAATAAATGTAATGAAATGTATGAATTAAGTAGTTGGAATTATTTGAAATGTGAAATGTTGAAATGATATTGATATTGAATTTGTATTTTAATTTGTGTTTTGTATTTCATGTATTTATAATTGTTTATTTATTTTATAGGTTTCATTTACACATCATCAAAATAAATATTGAACACCCAGTCAGAGTTGGTCATGATTTTTTCTCAAACCAAACTCTACATAAAATATACATTTACAATAACTATCATTCCATTTGCGCAGTAATAATGCAAATCATTTAGAATAAACTGATGAAGACTCTTTGATATTTGTCAATATAAGGTGACTTGGAGACTTAAAGGTCCATTGGGTTATATGTCAATACAGTTACTCTGAATTCACATCATTGATTTTACACATGTAACTATTATAAATGAATTTCTTTTTTTCTTATATCTTATCTTATTTTATGTGTGCGTCATATGTTCAATTATCTACGGATATGTCCTTTATAATTACTTTTATAATACTGCACGTTTGTAAGGTCGCTTTTCATTGGATAATCGTGACGTTTATATAGTTTTATATACACGGCTGTTGTCGATTCATGAAGAAATATTACTTTTTTCTCTAAAAAATGATGTTTGCTGTATTATAAATTCGTTATAAAGATTGTTGACAAGTTATATGGCCGTATATAAACGGCTGTTTGCAATATAACCCTTGCCTGACGGCTCGGGTTGTTTTTACAAACAGCCGTTTATACAGGGCCATATAACCTGCCAACAATCTTTATAACTAATAAATAATCTGTTGTAATTTTTAATTCTGTGAATGTCGTTCCTAATTACGCTATAAGTAATTGGCTATAGGTAACAAGATTTGGAAAAACATAAGGTATACGTAAGTCACATTAGGATGAAAGTATCTCTACGCGAATCAAAAGACGTACTTATCCGAATAAAGGCGTTATAACGCGAATCAAAAGGCGTAATAACGAGAATAAAGGCTCTATAACGCGAATCAAAAGGCGTAATAACGAAAATCAAAGGGCGTTAAAACGCGAAACAAAAGGCGTAGCAACGCCTTTATTAGCGTTATAACGCGAAACAAAAGTCGTAATTACGCGAATCAAAAGGAGTATTAACGCCTTTATTGGCGTTATAACGCGAAACAAAACGCGTCATAACGCGACTCAAAGGCGTTATAACGCGAATAAGGCGTTATAACGGGAATCGAAAGGCGTAATAACGCTTTTATTCGCGTTTTAACGCGAATTTCAGTGTGTAATTACGCGAAACAAAAGGCGTGATAATGCGAATCAAAGGCGTTATAATGCGAATTGAAAGGCGTTATAACGCAAATAAAGGCGTTATAACGCGAATTAAAAGGCGTAATAACGCCTTTATTGGCGTTATAACGCGAACCAAAAGGCGTAATAACGCAAAACAAAAGGCGTTATAACACTAATTTAATACCATATAAATTCCAAAAAGTGACCTAGTAATGTACGATAGGAAGAACAAAGTTGATCTACATGAATCGATCAAGACCTACGTTTTATTTTCAATTCTGTACGGATACGTCCTAAGGCCACAGTCTGATTTTTTAATATTTTATTTAGGAAATGCTTTCGTCAGATTAGAGGTTAACTATCACCCAACTAAAGAAGGTAATGTCTCCTTTAATTGCGACTTAACTGAAACACTATCCCCCCAGTTAAGCATACATATCAATAATCACCCTAATGCGACTAACTTACACCTTACGTTTTCCCAAATCTAGTTACCTATAGCCTATTACCTATAGCTTAATAAGGAATGACATTCACATTATTAGAAGATACTAGAGGTTATAAGGTAATCAAACAGGATATATCCGAAGATAATTGAACATATGACGCACATATAAGATAAGAGAAAAGATAAGATTAGAAAAGAAATTCGTTTACTTTAGTGACATGTGTAAAATCAATGATGTGATACATGTGAATTTAGAGTAACTGTATTTACGTCCAGTCCAATGGACCCATACAGCACCAAGTCACCTTATATTGGCAAATATTAAAGAGTCTTCATAAGTTTATGACTATTACTGCGCAAATGGAATGTAAATGTATATTATATTATTCTATACGAGTTTATATGTTGAGCAATAAATTGAGATCAATATTGGTCTTCCTTTCTCACGTTACTCGGCCATTTGATTAGTATATTATGGTATTAAATTGGCATTTAAATGCCTTTATTTGCGTTATTACTCTTTTTGTTTCGCGTTATAACGCAAATAAAGGCGTTATTACGCCTTTTAATTCGCGTTATTTATAACGCCTTTATTCGCGTTATTACGCCTTTTGATTCACGTTATTACGCCTTTATTCGCGTTATTACGCCTTTTGATTCGCGTTATAACGCTTTTATTCGCGTTACTTCGCCTTTATTTGCGTTTCTACGCCTTTTTTCGCGTTATTAAGCCTTTTGATTTGCGTAATTACGCCTTTTGATTCGCGTTATAACGCCTTTATTCGCGTTATTAGGCCTTTTGATTCGCATAATAACGCCTTTATTCGCGTTATTACGTCTTTGCATTTTTTTCATTTGACACTATTAGGTTTTCGTACATTTATTTTGAAAGAAATAAATATTCATGTCCTGTAAGCAGTTTATAAAGTTCAAAATACTGGCCATATGAGAATGTTTTAGCATGGCATAAATGTTATTTGTCTTCTCAATTTTGCTGTATAACTCTTATCTAGTACACTTTGTAGAAAAGGTTTCGTTTGAAAAAGATAATTAAACTGGTTATGAAAATATAAAAACATCTTTATCTTGATATAAATGTACCAATGTTATTTCATTTAAATAGTTTGTGCTGTCAAGTTAAAACAGCGATACATCTCAAAGAATTTAAGGAATGTATTTAAAATGTCTATAATAAGAAATTATACGTACAGAAGTAAAATATTTGTTGAGTGGAGTTACAAAACATCAATGACATTTTTATAACTCTCATCAATTTTAAACTTTTGATATTTTATCGAAAATATTTAATCAAACATTTCAAGATCCCCCGGAGAAACCTGTAATAATGGGTTTCACAGACGGTGAAAAATATTCACTTATAGAATCCGAGTTTGTCAAACTGTCTTGTTCGTCACATGGCGGAAATCCACTAGCTAATTTGACATGGAATTGCTATAACAGTAAACCAACATCTATGACCATTGAAGACAAAACAGTTTCCAGCACTGTTACATGGTCTGGGTTTCGTGGTCAGTCATCTTGTCTTTGTATTTCACATCATTCCTGGTCTGGAACTACGCAAGATACAACTGTAATAATTGATGTTCTTTGTAAGTTTTATATTTCATATTATATAAGATAAATAACAAATTGATGGTTTCGTTTTAAATGTAGACGTTCGTCAGTAACAAAACGTTAAAGATCCTAAAGATAATTACGTATACTGCTTTAAAGTTATAATATTGTTTGTATTTATTTATTTTTCCATGATTGCTTTGTAATATATTGATAAATCCTATCAATAATCGATATAAAGTATTTTGACATACATGTTTTAAGACCCTCCAAACAAACCAACTATGACCATCAGCAATAAAACCGTCTCAAACGTTATTAACGTTATTTTGAGCAAAACCGTGCAAGTAAAATGCGAAAGTAAAAGCAACCCACGCTCGAACTACACATGGACAGGCCCAGCTGATTTGAGCCAAGTGGAACAAATACTGGATGTAACAATTAACAGCACGATAGACAAGATGTTTAAATGCAATGCGACAAATCGAATGGTTAGACAAAATGGTACACACGTAATTGGACGTAATGAATCTGCTGTTACAATAAAGGTGTTGTGTATGTATCATTTGTTACACCTCACTTTCTTTATACATTTATTCTGAGATTATTAACAGATTATTTCAACTTAATAAAGCACCATTAATTCATACAAATTCTAACTTTTCTCCCTTAATATCATGTTGATTAGAATAAGACTTTGTTGATACAAATTTGGACCAAACAATGATTAAACATATCTGTAAAGAAATGTAAGAATGTTACAAGAAAGCTATTTTACATTATTGTTGTATCCAGTTGTAAATGAAAAGCGTACACGCATGAAAATAAAGGCAATAATATGAAATATCGTGTTTATCAGATCCACCTGGGAATCCTTATTTCAAATATGAATACAGTAATGGAACAAAGGTCAGTACTCAAAATATGATAGACGTTATAGAAGGAGATTCGTTTTTAGTACATTGCAATGCAGCAGGAAATCCATTACCTACTTACAAGTGGGGCAGTAATAAAGGCAACAGTATTTTAAAGATAACTTCAATTACTTCCGACACAAATAAAACATGCCATGTAAAGAACATAATGGAGGAAACAGTCGGTGAAAATCGAACAGTATCGACATCTGCCTCATTTTTTATCAGGGTTCTTCGTATGTATAATTATAATACATTTATTATATAAACTTGTATTTAAGAACTGATCCAAACACAATTTTATATCTTTAAATTTAATTGTGAAAATAAGTTTTTTAGACAAGTGATATTTTAAATCAGTCATATCAACAAAATTCAATTTTCAACTATCACCGCCAATTAACAGGTTTATTTTAAGCTAAGTCTGCATAATTCTTCTTTCTTTAAACACATTTTGTTAGAAACCAAAAAAAATTACCATGTTTATAAAAGTGTCCTATTTATTAAAACATTTACGCGTGAGTAAAAACTTTCTTTATTTATATCATAACGACTTATTTTAAAGACACTGATTACAGAACAGTGTTTATTTTAGGTTTTTGTTTTTTATATGCTCATAATGATAGTATTAAACTAGTTAATAGTGTCAGTACATAATATAAATATTTCTGTGAATGCTCATAATTACATTCATAGATGCGCCATACATTCCTACGATCACGATTTCGAACGGAACGAGACAATTAAACATAACAGCAGTGACTATACAATTAAGAGAAACAGACAATATCAATATGACCTGTTTCTCTGAAGGAAAACCTCTCCCAAACTACACCTGGGATAGTCACAATGATCAAATACAAGGACGTTTACGTCAATTTACCAATATTAGCCGAAAGGATGCCGGGAATTACACGTGTTATGCGAGTAACTTGATGAAACGCACTTTTGGTGACACTGAACAAGGATTGAACGTTTCCAGCTTGTCTCTCGACATAATGTGTACGTATGAAATAAATATATATTTTCTTCGTAGATATTTCAAATATATTCAATGTTGAGGAATGCAATTGTTCAAAACATAAATGTGTCAACATGCATGTGTTTATAATTTTAATATCATTTCAAAGTCTTTTAAAACACGGTTGCAGATCCATCAACCATTTCATCACTAGAAGACATAAGTACTCTGGAAGGATCAGACCTTAAGGTTATATGTCGAGTTCAGGAGGGAAACCCAACTGAAGATAGTGTGTCATGGACTAGAATAAGTGATGACAAGAATTGGAAGAACAGTCAACTGATTATAACTAATGTTTCTAGAGCAGATGACACAAAATATACATGCACTTTACGAAGTACAATCATTCCAACAATTGGTGACGAAACATTGACTTTAAGAAACAAAACAATACATCTAAATGTTTTTTGTAAGTATACTGTGTTAATAATCAAAATCACTTAATTTTATTATATGTTTGTGGGAAGGGCGTGAATAACGCAAGTTTATTATGTGAACTATTTAAGGTTCCTTTTTACCAAGACTTACGTCCAAATAAAACACTTATAACCAGATCTTATTGATTACACAGAGTGAATTGTCAGTTACTATCACTTTTATCTATCTATTAAAATATAACTATCGAAGTGAGTACACGTTCACAGAGAAGTGAGTCGTTTCATTGAAATCACATTTGAAACTGTGTAACACGTAAGCATACTTTAATTTTCCATTCATCAGAAAAAGTAAAAAAAAATATCCTTATTATCAATGCTAAATCTAAAAGTTGAATAGTTTATATTTCATTTAATATATTAAAGCCTCATTTTTATTAGAAGCAAACGATTTTACGTTAACAGCTTTTTCTACCGTGGTGTGTATGTATTAAAATGTATTAAACATATTTAGGGAGGCAACAAATGAATTTGTTTATCTTGACTTATTATAATATGTTTCAGTTTCTTCAGAAATCAAACATTTTACTGTTGTAAAAAAGAAGTCAAGTGGAACGTTTATTGTAAACCAAACAGATGAAGTTTCATTAGAATGTACAGCAGAAGCTAACCCAGCCTCGATTCTATCTATATATAATACACGTGGCAAGAGTATATCGACAGTAAAAAACAGAAATTTGCTGCTTTACAGCATATCAAATGCGTCGTTCGAAAACGCAGGCAAATATAAATGTGAAGGCAGAAACAACTACACAAAGGATAAACCATCAGTATCAGAACTGATAATGGTTGTCAAATGTAAGTTAAACCGGCTTTGAATATGACTTATGTTCATTAAGTGTTTCTTTGTAGACTACATTTATCATTGGCTTCAAAGCTTGGTCAACTAATGAGCTGATGATATTATGTTGGGCTTTTTATTGTAAAATTCACGTTACGCGGCATCACAAAGATGCTACAACTTAACTTTCCATTGATTTTATACCTGCAAGTAAAAGGATGTGTAATCGGTTATACATTTAACATTTCCTATCGCCCATTCTAACCTAACACGTTCGTTTAAAGATGCATCTGTAAATTTTGATTTCTTTTATGTATTTGAGCGATCGCCCTTTAAAGCAAAAACAAATTGTTTTGATCTGTTTTGCATTGATTTAATCCAAATCTGCTTGTGTCGAGGGTTTTAAAGGGAGCCAGAAAGACATATCTTTTTCTGCTTGCTGAAAAGTCAGTTTGTTTATATGATGGTCCGTGTGTGGGATTTTGTGATGTGTTTTTATGTAAGATATTCATGTTTTATCTGATACTAGATCACTCTATTGAATAATGTACAAGTTTTTTTTTATAAAACATTATTATATTTCGCGCTTAATAGAACTAATTATTTATTTATTAAATTCATTGATTTTTAAAACGAATATTCACTTCAGTTAATTTCTTTCACGCTATGATTTATTTCCACTGTCAAATAAATTAAGACTATTTATCAGATGATGATATAAAGCTAAAATCTTAATGTGGTAACAAAAACATAATGACGCGTTTTCTTTTAACTCCATCCCGCTTTGTAATATATCCCTGTTAAACAGACACTTTAATGCATTATATGCACGTCATATAAAAAGGATTACTTAAAGGTTAATATATGACGTCAACTGTGATGTAAATTAACAAAACGATAGCATGAATATTACTTCTCCGCTCAATGGGTTTCATAATGTTTTTTCATTAGTTCTTTTTCTATCCGCATTTTATAACGAACATTGATATCATTTTGTCTTACACTCCAGTACTACAAATACAATTTTTTTGTAATTTATCATTCAAGCCTACCGATCAACTTCGCGATCATGCCTTAATCTTCAACACATTCGCAGTTTATACCAACACGAGAGCGTTACGTTATGCAGGACTATAGTTCCAATTTAAAAACAAAAAGCGTTTGGATTGTTTCACGATTTCACGGATAAGATTTTGCGAATTTGTTGAGTTGAATATTTCTTAATACCGTTTTTAAATATCCATGTAGCTGTCTTTTCCGGCTTACTATGTTTTTTTCGTTCAATATTATGAAGTGTAGGAATGTTATGTTTCCTAAAGAGAGAGGATACAGTCGCCGTCTCGAATGTTCTTTCGTCCGTACAGCCATAAAATACATAGAAAATTTGGAGAAAAATAAAAAGTTCAAAAACAAATAAATTACTTTGATTAATAGTTTAATTTTCGTCTTTTATGATATTTAAATACGTTAAATATTGCTTTCCCGGACTGCCAGTGACATAAATGAAATAAATAAATAAATGAATAAAAAAGCTAGGCCTTATGTTCAGTTTAGCTGTTTTCTTTAAACATATTTTGTTAGAAACCTAAATTTTCACCATGTTTATAAAAGTGTTCTATTTGTTAAAAACATTTACGCATGAGTAAAAAATTTCCTTTATTTATATCATTACGACTTATTTGAAAGACACAGAGTAAATAGCATTGTTTATTTTAGTTTTCTGATGCTCATAAAGATAGTATTAAACTAGTTAATAGTGTCATAGAAAAGTAAAAAAAAAAAAAAAAGATTCTAGATTTAAGGTAGAGAAAGTACATTGTCGGAGACTTCAAGACGCATTGCCTTATATAATTTATTACCTTAAAATACTTTATAATGCCTTGTTACGTTTTGCTTGTATAACCTTTATTCAATGACTGTTCTGTTGAAAACACGTTTTAACAAAAGCTTTATCTTATACAGCTTTTGTTATTGACTGTTTTTTTATAAAGTATGTATATAACTTAGGTGGTCCTCTTACTGTTGATTATGCGAAGGGACAATCAGATTCTGATCACTATGTCGAAAAAAAGAGCACAACATGAACTGTTATGCTCTTCTGTTAAATGCATATCCACTATCAAATACATATTTTTTTATAAATAGCATAACTTCTATAAGAGGCATAATGTCTTGAGTTAAGTATATAGTGCCTTGTCATGACTATAAAGTATAACACGTTCAAATTTTGAAATCAGCGTACTGATAAAAAGAAGCTGTGACAAAAACGCTGAATTGAAAAGAGGCATAACTACAGACATATAGCTTACAGAATAATGATATGCATAATATGCCCATTGTATTTCATTTGTGCCTTGCAAGCAAAGACAAATCTTTCAGTCTTTTAAAATTTTCCACAAAATAAGCAATTTTGAAAAAAATAGATATCAAGGGACAAAACTCTTAATATTTTGATTTTAGGTGAATGCCCCTTGTTATACAACTTCGCCTACTCACAGTCAAGGGTTCAAATTTTATATTGATTTTTTTCATAGTTTTGAAATCATTAGAATTATAAGCAATTTTGACATAAAGTTAAACTGATGCATCATAATATTATTATTCCCGATCTATATAAGTTTTAGCAAAATTCCCCTTGTATGGTGGCTAGTTTGTACCGTACGCGTTTTCGCCCGGCGTACCAGCCAAATGATAAGTCGATAATTTGCAAGTTAAAATGGCGGGGCCCTAAGCGAAAGGACGCTAGTTAGCGGGGGCGCCGGGTGACGTTTTATTTATTTAACTTTCATCAAGTGTTCTCATATTGATTTGATTAGACCATTTAGGGGCGACTAAAGCTAAAAATAGAAAAACCTTTGAACATCATTTCCTACTGAAATTATTGATAGATGATCACCAAACTTTGTTACAATCTCAGGTATTCTTTTTTCAAGTTTGTTCATATTTATTTGATTTGACCCGTTTAAGCTAAGGCTTAAATGACCCAGGTCATGGCATTTCTTCAAACTATTGTTTATACATATTAAATGCTCAAATTTAATATAAGAACATATTGACAGTGGATAAATCCCCACACTGAAAAAGCAGTTGTTTCTGGTGAGCGACTCAGAGCATCATGGCCCTCTTGTCTTATTATTCCTCGACTTTTCGCTTGGCGGGTCTCGCTGGTTGAGGTAAAATGAATGCATAAAATGGCGGGGCCGCAGAGCTAATTAGCGGTGGAGCGGGCGACGTTTTATCATCGCACCGCCCCGGCTAAGAGCGTGTTTTCACTCCCGCGCCCATGTCGTTTTATTTCTTAATGCCTGCTTCGCGCCACCGGGGTGTAACGTTTTTATTTTTTGAATCTCGCACCGCACCCTCACTTATAAGCGGATTTTCGCTCCGCCAATTGCCATTTTAATTGTTTTTTCTCAACATTTCGCTTGGCAGGGACGCGGGGCGAAATTTTATGTCACAAATCAGCCACCATACATTAAGCTTTTAAATTGTTAAGATTAACAAGTCTTCGAATAGTCATGGTGATGTCCTTTATTGTTTTGAATAAAATTCTAATACTTAAATAGTTATTTTGACAAAAAAATCAAACGGGCATTGCTTTTAAACATAGCTTTAAGAATAATCCCGCATGTCTTCACTTGTTCTTGTCAAGATAAGCAAGTGTTCCAAGTTTCATATTAATACCTTTAATATTAATTGGGTACTGGGCTACACAAAAGTTTTTGCATGATGACGACAACAACGACGTTGCAGCGCTCAATATTGTTCGATGGTTTCTTCAAA